AAAACGCGTGGCGCGACCCGAGGGAAAATTTGACCCCCCCCCCCCCCCCCAAAAAAAAAAAAAAAAAAAAAAAAAAATTTGATTTTTTTTTTTTTTTTTTTTTTAAATTTAAATTTATTTTTTACAAGTATTACAAGTAATTTGATGAATTTTTAATACCATACCTGCCAACCCTTACGAATAATTCAGAATATTCTGTTTTGGGGGATTTCTAGGACCAGAAAATCCGGAATTTTCTGATTTTTCAAAAAAAAAAAAAAAAAAAAAATGATTTTTTTTTTTTTTTTTTTTTAAAGAACGCGTGGCGCTAGGTCGGGCCCATCAGGAACGCGTGGCGCGCGCGCCACGCGTTATCTGTGTACACGAGGGCCATGAGTACAAGTATTTATGTATTTCATAATGAAAAATTCAAAGGCACAGAACATGTGTGTACAAAAGTATGATAGCAAAAAAGATGCCAGGCTGACGACGAACGGATGGTGAAACAACGGAGTCATCAAAGAGCTGTCAAGGTGCATAAAATGTAAACCACTCAGGTAGGCAATTAATTAGAGTTATTTTATTCTTAGATATATTGGGTGAACATACATAAAATAAAACATAAAACACAGAAAAGAAAATAGTAAAGGAACAATTTGTTGAAGAAAAAAATAAAAAGCAAAGAGAAAAATAATGTAGATCTAGGTAGAACTTGTGCCACCTGCAAATTATTGTTCTAGCATAATGATGAGGTAAACTACTCTAATATTTTGATGTCAGATCTTAACTAACAAACATGAAATAAATAAACCCAAAAAAATTATCAACAATAGATTTAGATTTCTACTTAGTAAGGACATACCTCGCAGACACTCTCGGACTTGGAAGACTTGCTCTTCTTCTTGCGTTGTGTTTTCTGATTCCTAGAAAAATAATTTGAGATACAATTTAGCCTAAAACCACATCAAAACATTATATCATGCAAGGCAAAATAATTGACAGACGTAGTAATGGTACAAAATCTGAAATTTTTTACGTGGATTTATTGTAATCACGTTTGTTTACATTCACTCATTCACTAACAGACACTACACTGCACTTGGAGATTCACTACACTTCACTAAGAAGTTGTGTAGTCTACAACCTCAACACTAGCTACATGGGAATATTGATACGTAAAATAACATTCTATAGGCCTACTATGTCTATGATGTAGCATTATATTCAACAACAGACACAATAAAAATATATATATCATAATATAATTAAGTTTCAGAAATAAACGTACCTTTTCAGCTGTTTTCTGGGGCCAGTTCCGCTCGTCGATGGTCCGTAATTCGACAACAAACTCGTTTCTCTACGAGTGGGACTAGTAATATTTTGAACATTAGTCGGGCTCATTTTCTTGGGAAGAATCACTAAAATGGGATAAGGAGGCATCGGAGTATGAGGAGTCACTATCTCTTGATGAAATTTCATCGCTAGAATAATTGCTGGAAGACATTTTGGTGTGATTTGGAGACGTTTGATGAACGAAAATCAGCAAAAGTCCGATGCGCACAGCAGTGTCAGTGGGGAAAAAAAATAACGGGTAATTTTCAAATTACGTACTTGCGTACTGTCCTCTACGTTGAAACTTTGCGCACACATAGAACGGGAATATCTCGATCGAATGCTTTTTTTTCTATTAATAAAGGAGATTTTTTTTGGTTGAAATTTCTATGTGTACATTTTCTTTTTACACATGGTTTATGTATGGTTATCTTTGAGTGCACTAGTCACTACTATAGTTTGTAAATAAAATCAAGAATATTAATAAAGGAACAAAATTGAAATTTCGTACATTTTCTTTTTACACATTGTTTATTAATGGTCATCTTTGAGCTCACTATTCAATATGTGACCCCACAGCTAAAAACAACCAATAAGTCGCAAAATGAACAACAGAGATAATGGCAGGAGAAGCGGGCTTTTTGAATAGGATGCCAGTCATAAACAATGAAAATATGCAAGTTTAGAAAATAGACAAAAAATAGTTTACAAATTTGTATCATGTCATAAAAAATTTAAGTGCAAAAAATAGGAAGAAAATAGTACTCGCAAATAGGTAAAAAGAAGTCTTAAAAAGATTAAGGTGAAAAAATAGGGAAAAAATAGTCTGAAAAAGATTAAGATGAAAAAATAGGGAAAAAATAGTCCTATTTTTTTTGAGAAAATAGGCAAAAAATAATCTGAAAAAGATGAAGGTGAAAAAATAGGGAAAAAATAGTTTGGTACTCGAGAATAGGAAAAAATAGAACTATTTTTTTCCTATTTTCTTTTAAAAAAATAGGAATAAAATAGTCCATAAAAGTTGAAAGTAAAAAAAATGGGCGAAAAATAGTTTGTGCTTGAAAATAGGAAAAAAATAGGACTATTTTTTTCCTGTTTTCTTATAGGAAATAGGAAAAAAATAGTCTGAAAAAAAATATAGGTGAAAAAAATAGGGAAAAAATAGTTTGTACTTGAAAATAGGAAAAAAATAGGACTATTTTTTTCCTGTTTTTTTATAGGAAATAGGAAAAAAATAGTCTGAAAACAAATATAAGTGAACAAAATAGGGAAAAAATAGTTTGTGCTTGAAAATAGGAAAAAAATAGCCCTATTTTTTTCCTATTTTCTTGAAGGAAATAGGGAAAAAATAGTCTGCATTTCCAGAAAATAGGGAAAAAATAGGAAAAAAATAGGGAAAAAATATATTTTCGCAACACACAAAACTACTAGGGCAGGTGCCAAATCGTGAAATATTTTATACATCAAACTATAACTGTGCCTAACTTGTCTCTTTTCTAACATTTCCCAATTTAAAATATTATAAATTTCACTGATTGGTTTATGTTAAGATAATTTATATTTAAGAATGATTCTACCTGCCCTGTTCTGTAATTTTTGTAACATGTCTACTTGAGACTTAGTGCCCGAATGCCATAACACGTCACCATAATCAAAATGTGGCATTATTGCGGCATTATATACAAGTTTTAACCCAGTCTCATTAACATAGTTACGCAACCTTCCTAAGAAACTAATCATTTTCCAACCTTTTTACATAATTCATCGGTGTGTACATTCCATTTTAATTCACAATCAATAAAAATACCTATATATTTAAATTTGTCAACTTGAACAATATCATTATCATTAATTTTTAAGTTCAACCTACTGTTTCTGTTCAACATATATTTAGTGTCTATCAGCATACTAACAGTCTTAGTACAATTTATTTTCAACTTATTACAATTCATCCAAGAATATAACTTATGCAATTCAATATTCAAAACATTTTCAATATTACAAGGGTCTTTATCTGAATAATATATAACGGTGTCATCTGCATAAAGGTGAACCGAACATTTTTCAAAACAAGAGGGCATATCATTAATAAATATAAGAAATAGTATGGGGCCGAGAATAGATCCCTGGGGTACCCCGTGTGTAAGGAGTAGTTCTGACGACAGCGTATTATTAATCGAAGTTATTATGCGTCTACCATTTAAATAGCTTCTAAACCAATTCAAAGATGAACCCTGAAGACCAACGCCAGAGGTTAATTTTGCCAGAAGAATTCCGTGGTCTACTAAGTCGAAAGCCTTTTGAAGATCCACAAAAACAGTGCCTGTGTACATGCCTTTGTCCAGTGACATGAGCCAATCATCCGTAACTTTGATAAGTGTAGTGGTCGTCGAATGATTAGACCTAAACCCCGATTGTTGTTTGGCCAACAAATTATTGTTCGACAAGAAACGGGTGAGTTGCCGCTGCACAACTCTTTCTAAAAGCTTCGACACACAAGGTAAAAGAGAAATCGGTCTATAATGATCAGGATTAGATTTATCTCCCTTCTTAAATAATGGAATTATCTTGCCTATTTTCCACCTAGTTGGAACCACACCTTCACTAATAGACCTATTTATTAGGTATGTGATGCTCCGAACGATTTCGGGCCCACACAGTTTCAAAACAAAGGTACTAATCCCGTCAACACCAGTAGACTTCTTATTTTTTTAAAGCAAACATTTCTTTAAGAACATCAGCTATATCAACAGGGGATAATTCAAAAGAATTCTCATAGCATACAGGCCTTTCTTCTAAAATAGGAACATATTCATTTGTACATATACTAGCAGCTACATTGGCAAAGTGTTTATTAAATTCGTTTGCAATTTTATCATTTTTACTATTCATACTATCAAAAGAATCTGTCGATTTATTAGGCAATAATAACTTTAAAATTTCCCAAGAATTTTTACGACTATGGCAGTCACGTATTTTGTCAGAATAATATAGTTTCTTTGCTTTTTTAATTTCATATGTAACTGTATTCCTCATTTTTCTATAACTTTTCCAATCATCTTCATTTCTAGTTACTTTTGCTTTCTTCTTCATTTTATCACGTTGTTTCATCAAATCAAAAATAGAATCATTAAGCCATGGAGAGTGTTTTTGCTTCACCCTTTTAGTCTTAATTGGCATATGTTTATCTACAATACGCATTACACATTTTTTCCCATTTATCGACAGCTTCATCAATAGTATGACTAGTTTCTACCTCTGTCCAATTCTGTAATCTGATATCGGTTTTAAATGAATCAAGATTAACACATCTTGATTTCCGAAAAGTAATTAACTTTGCATGAGTGCACGTGTTGTTTGAATTCTGAACCTTCCAAGATAAAAAAAAACTCAACGAGTGATCGCTGAAACCAATATCTATAACACCCCAAGAATCTACATTTTCTGGCTGATTGCACAACATGTGATCAAGAAGAGAGCTTGAATCTGACGTAACACGTGTACATTTCATAGTATTAATTTGATGCAGGTCATGTATATCATTTATTTGACAATATTTTTTACATTCAGAACTTAGAGGCTCATGTAAAATATTCAAATTTATATCACCCATCAAAACAACAGATGAACGATATTCTTCTAAAAAAGTAAGCATATCTTCATAAGTTGATAAGATTTCACATTTTGAATTTGTAGGTCTATACCAATTACAAAACAAAAGGGGTTTACATTGCCAGAAGTGCCAGAATAAAGTATATCCCTACAGTCTAGCGATGTTAAGCTCATCTAGAACTTTTTATACAGTCTTATCCCTTTCCGAGAAGCACTTGATGCAAGGAAAACTGAAACCCCGAAATGTTGGACAAAATGGAATATATCTGGTCCAACTCGCACCCCTGACCAATGACATTCCAAATGGAAAGTCGTAGCATTTGTTGACGTATACAGCGATTTCCCTCTGAAGAGCTTTGTCATCCTGACTTGAGGCTTCATCCGAAGTGCCTTTGGGGTCGGTCGTTTCCATTCCTTGTAACTGTTTGAACTGCACCAGGCCCCTTTCTTCGGGTGTCCCTATTAGAAGAAAAAAAATCCTCAAGTGTGAGACTATAAAGTCGAAATCGATTCTACGAATGCATACTGTTAATGAATTATAAACAACACGATCGGTAAATATGTAATGACGTCACAAGCTCCTGTGCCCGTTACATACGAGGAGTCATTTCTACCTGCGCTAATAAATCCTGTGAAAATAACTGGCCCATAGTCTAGAAAATTAACGCAATGGTGGCGGTGGTAATTAGCAATCCCTTTAGGACGATTTCATCCTCTAAATATTATTATGACGGGACAAATTCAGCAAAAATCGCTGACGCAATGCTATGTCAGGCAAATTACACCTCGTGTGGATTAAAAATTATGTGTCAAATACCTGGTATGGTGTTGTCGAGTAAAAAGCCAGTTGCTCCGCCAATGAACATGCTTGTCCCAAGAATTATGATCAGCATTTCGTCAAATATCTCAGACCCTACCAAAAAAGATTTAAAAAAAGATATATCAATGTCAGTATCCATTGGTTTTCATAACTTTGCTTGTTCATGTGTCTTTAAATCATTATCATAAAAGGACATTTTCGAACAGGCTGAGCTAAATGTAACTAAATAATAATTAATTATTATTATTATTTATTGGCTTTTTACATTCCATCTCAATCAACTATCTTTTCTCCGATTTAGTTGTAATTAATCCTTTCATTGTTTATTAAATCTATAAGTTCTCTCATTTAAGTTTCTCACCTCTCCCTTTGAAAGATAGTATGTCTCATTTGCAGCCAACACCAAATTCTGTAGAACTTTGCAGGAATTATGAATATGTCATGTATGTCCTATCTGTGAAATTTAAACCTTTGCAGTGTCCTAATATTAAAATTATGCAAGGAAATCCATTTACTAACTGGACTGGACCATCATTGATGCCTGATTGAAACTTTGTTCATTTTTTTTTATTACTTTTTCCTCATCTCTCCCTCATACTAGTAATTCATGAAATTATCGAATTACGCCCCCCCCCCCTCCAGTTCATACTGGACTTCGGAATACAAAATGCTAAATAACAGAATCATCATTGATGCCTGTTAAAGTACATTCAAGCTCAATACGATCGCAAAGATTTTGACGGATCCCCTTAACATAAGGGCAATTATAAAATCATGTTTGGACTACTATAAGTCACTGCAATATTCGCACATAATTAAGGCGATGGACAAGGCTATTGACATATTGACTAAAGGTCGATTGTTTCGAAAGTCTTTTAAATTTATTTTGTATGTTGTATTTACTGATGATGGGTGAAAATGCACTAAATTAAATCAGGACTACCATTTGCTCTTTTGTTGTGTTCGTTTGTGTGCTTGTATTTGTATCAAGGCGCCTACCTGTATTTATTTGGTCTCGGTTACTGTTGATGTGAGAAGGAACAGCAGTCCCCATGTAGAGCGATACACCAAAGATAAACAAGTTTCTGGGCGAGTTCATGTCCACATACTGCAGATTGCTGATTCCAACAGCAGTCACGATACCTGATTAAGATATGAATGAATAGTTTATTTGGAAAGAACAAAAACAATTAAAAAAAACAATAACAATAACAAATATTAGCTACATTCATATTATATCTTTCCCTGAAGATGATCAAGGCGCCTACAAATTATTATTACTAACCTGGTTTAAGCCCAGCTGCGCTAAAGGGCAAAAATCATTCAAAGAAAGAAAACCTTTTCAGGCAGGGGCGGCGATCTGGGGGGACGGGGGGAGAGGACACGTCCCCCCGGTAAATTTGAAAAAGTACACACACACACAAAAAAACGTTTAGCAAATACTGACTGAAGACTGCAACACACTTTATGGCTCTTTTAGGCACTTCTGGACTAATAACAATGCAAAAATCATCTCTCTCGGTCGCTACGCTCTGTCGCATATATCGTTCAAAATGTACGAGTAAATATTGTAGAAAATCTGTATTCCGTTGTCACCGTGATACCAACGGAATTCAGATTTTCCCTCGCATTTCGTCTGCAGGAGGGAGAGGGGGTGTAGTCACATATTAAGACCTACGGGGTGCCGCTCTAATGGGTCACCTTGTCACATAAAAATCCTTAAAATGGGTCCCTTTTATTACAAAAATTTCCCTAAACATAGGTTCCGTTTTTTCAAATTTTCAAAAATGTCCGGGTGTTTGCATAGCAAATACCCCAAAATTGCGAAAAATGGACTTCGAAAAAAAAAGCCCAAATTACCTTTATAAATGAGTAGGAACATCCCCGTCCAAAACCAAATCTGAGTAACCCCGGAGATTTTGTCCCACCCGTCATGAAAAGAAATCGCCGCCCCTGCTTCCAGGTACCTATTTACTACACATGGGTGAAGAGTGGCAAATATAGACCAATGCCTTGCCAAAGCATGTGATCTACAGTCCGGTGACATATCTTGTTCTTGAGCAGAACACCTCTGCATTGGCAATTCATTCATATGGGCAGTAAAAAATATGAATTTCTTAGAATGACACAATACACCATATTCATTAAAATAAAAAGAACTCCGTTAATAAGTAAATGCTCTCAACAGGTACAAATAGATAATTGTTTACAAGTAGCTTCGGTGAAAAGTCATATTTTATTTAGAGATATAAGTTTAAGGCTTGTGCAGATATAATGCGGTAAACCGTGTAAATGAGTGGCAACTACGCGCACCAAAGGTTCAACGCGTATTCACAGCTCTGTCTTAAAAGATAAAGAGATGTAAAGCGCATTACACTTGGGCCATTACAAAAAAAAGCGGTTTACCGCTGCATATGTGAACGAGGCTTTACCGCCTGCGAGGCCATACCAAATGTTACCACCATGACTCCTCCGATGACGGGAGCTGGGACGGTAGCTAAGAAAGCAGCAGCCTTGAGCCAAATACCAAGGACGACGACCATCACACTCATCACCTGCACTACAATGCGACTACCGACCTGCAAGAATAGGATATTGTAATAATCGTTAATTCTCCGGCTGCATTCTTCTCTGCTTTACCCCTTCGGTTGTTGGCAATCACGTACCAGTCTGCGCAAAACAATAGGGAGCAATTGACGATAGGATTGCTTTTTGCAACACAATATGGTCTTTTAGATTTGCACGTCGACATAGTGGACTGCTACGTGTCACGCCCTTTTAAGGCACTGTGATGTCCTTTAAGGCACTACCAGTGCCTTAAAAGGATGTAAACTCGTGGGATGATGCCTACAGAACCAAATCACAATTGGTTGGCTGGATAGTTTGTTTGTTTTGAACCCTAAGAAAGCATGTGCTTGAAAGTAAGCAACCAGCAAGGTATTTAGTATTGATGCCTTACCAAAGGCATCGACTTGGTTTCGAACCCGGGACCTACCGGTTACGAGACCACTGTTCTACCATTACGCTTTCACGCCGATATATCTGCCATGTAATTAAACAACTTAGTTTACGGAATAACTTAGTCAATGGAAACAGTGCACCTGAAACACTGAAAAAGTACATATATAAAAGAAAATCGTTTGTTCTTGATAATTAAGTTAGCATCTATTAATAATACTCAATTTTTATATAGCGCTTATTACAATCACTAAGCGCTTTCAAACTCGTACTATCACTGATACATGATATATACACACACATATGCTTAGATTTGGTCTATTCTTCCGTACAGTGCTCAATGCCTATAGGCATTTAAGGAATGTTTACATGGCAAGAAAATTCTTTAAGAGGATCATGTTGAAGACGAAATTAAACATTTCTAGTGAAACAAATTTTTAGTGAACCACTGCCAATGTCAAGATGCCATCACGGTAAATAGTCGTATTGACCAACAAACATCCCACAAGACCGATGGCTCACCAGACCAACAACACATGATATACTTCGATGTCCCGGACCTCCTAAATCCAAGACTACCAATGTCGACTTCATTAGGACCTAATAACATAATCCAAAAGACTTTAGAGACATCTACTCAAGGGCAATCCCAATACCCTCATGTACATCAAAAAGACATTATTTTTGGCATACGCCATTTTAGTGTTCGCTTATTTTGAAGAGTGATTTAGAAGGCCGCAGTGATTGAAGAAATTTCAAAATTATTTGCGATCATGATTACCTTTGTTATACCAATTGCACCGATATTCTGGCTGTACGAAGTCGCTCCAACACCCGTCCCCCAACAGGCTGACAGCAGGCCACCGACCCCTTCCATTCCAATGCCTCTGTTAATGGCGTGGTCGGGCGGAGGCGGTGCACCCGCTAGCTTGGCGCAGGCGAAGTAATCTCCGATGGATTCAACGATAGACGCAGTACAACCAGCTATCATTCCCAGAACTCCGGCTGCGGTTACTCGAGGCAAGCCCCATTGACCTTAAGAGGTATATAAACATCGAAATATTGATCAAAATAATTTTTTGATTTTTGTTTTCTGCTTAGTATTTAGATTTAAGTGTTTGTTGAAACGAACCTAAGTTATAAAATAAAATGAACATTTCCTGAAAACATTCTTAACTATTCATTGGGGGAGGCTCTTTCCGATTGTTAACTTTTCCGTAGAACGAGCCGCATATAGTGTACTCTATATCACATTTAGCGTGCAAGGAAATACATATTACATAAAATATTAAATTATTTAGATTGTAACCAAAATTTTCTTTGAACCAGGTGACTATACACTTTTTGTGTAAAGCCTTGTATTATAGACTGCGGTTACTCGAGGCAATATTATATTACTATTGTAAAGAGCAGGCAATGGTATCTGTTCTCATATCAATTTTGTGTCGAACTGATTTGCTGACTGTTGTGCATCGAAACAAGTTTTCACCTAGAAAATTGCTTATTATCTAACAAAAAATTTATGAACAGTAAACTATTATACATCTTATGAAAGAGTATTTTATCCCAAATCATTTGGCATCATTTGTGTGGGGTATGTGGTCACACTTGGACGAACAGGAGACATTGTGAGAGTGCAAAAATTGACTTCCGCCAAAATGATACATATGTGATGTTTGAATAAAACAATTGGGATTTAGAACATCGCTAACGAAATTAATCATGCCACACAAATCAAAACAGACAAAGAGTCACACTCAGTCATTTACACACACACACACACACACACACGCACAGGCACACGTCTGCGCACTCGCACACTCAGATAAATTTAAAAAAACACGCAACCAAGTCATTATTACGTAATGAACATTTCTGTAAAATCGCAAATTTCCCATTTAATATCAAAATGGAAATTCAATTCAATCATAATGCCATAATGAGATTTTGGTGCATTCACATCACAATGAATTGTTTTTTTTCAAAGGACTCGGTCAGTCTGCATCTAAATGCGCCATGCGAGTGTGTGTGTGTGTGTGTGTGTGTATACTTTGCTTCTGAAAAAGCATATGCAATGCATCTAATTTGATACATTAAATAAATTCTTTCACTTCAATACTTCTGCACAAGTCAAGTCGATTTTTGCATTCTCGCAAACAATGCCTCCTGTTCATCCAAGCGTGAACACATACCAGACAAAAATGATACCAAACGATTTGGGATTTCAAAACATGTATGATAACCTTGCGTTCATAGCTAAATTTTAAAAGAATGACAATTTTCTAAGTGTAATCTTTTTTGTGTCTCACACGGAATAGATAAATTGTGCATCTTGACCAATTGAATACTGAATTTTTATGTTCCACATATGTTTAACACAGAAACCATCCTGTTCCAGGAGGCAATGAGTTAAAATGACAATTATATATGTGGAAATAATTATAATTTGAACTGTGGTTGGATTAATCACCTGGAAGAGGCAGATAAAACCACGGTGTTTCCCGGAGTTGCGCTGACTTGATGTCCGTCCTGGCAGTGTATCCAATGGCATTCTCGTCATCGGGAAATACATCCGTTGCAGTCAAAATGTAGCAGACTACCCATGCTATCATTATGCTTAAAAAAACCTGTACGGGCAAAGAAAATTCAGGGTTTAATTTTCCATATAAATAAGGTGAAGTCCAATGCGTATTCCATAACGTTGCGAATTGTTAGTACGAAATTGTGTATATTTGTTTACATAAAATAATTTACCTGATGTTTTGTCTGAACCAAGTTTTATTAGGGCTATCAGCTTTATACAGTTATCAGATACACTGATCAGATTTGGTCAGTAACAAACTAGTCAGGAAGTGAGTAATTTAGATATTTGTTTTCCATTCGTGTTGCAAGCAATGTAAACGTAATGCACATGGTACCGTGTGCTGATCTGAATACAATACAATTAATACCGTTTATATTTCAAATAAAGATATGGTTAAAAGTGAACGGAAACTGAGGTACGGATGGGTGTTATTCTTTTTTAAATATCCATAGCCCAGATGTTGAGATTGGTGTCATTTCTTCAGGGCCCCGTTGCATGAAACGTAGCATAAACTTAGCATTGATATTAACTTTGTCATTAATGGTAACTTCCATGGAAACCTTATTTTGAGTTGCTGTTGAGTTATGCTGCCATGGAAGTTAATATTAATGGAAAAAGTACCATCAGTGGTAAGTTTTAAGCAACGGGGACATGGACAACAGAGAAAAAATTGGAATATATACTTTTAAATATATGCTATAAAAAGTTAGGTCCCTATTCTGTCAATTCAGTCAAACCAGACCCAGGATTTAAGATCACGTTTAAATTTGTATCAAAAGTAAAACTGAGATCTTAGACTAATTTATTTACAGAGCCGTAAAGATACTAGATTTGCAGGCAAAACAAATAAAAAGGTCTAATTCCAAAAGCATTTGAAAGACAATAATTTTTTAGAACTTCCCTTTATAATGAAAGGGCTTCAAAATGTCATCAAGTGGAAAAATAACAACCAGAAGTTGTCGAATCGACTTTAGTGATTGCAATCCATTTGATAATAGTCTGATTTCATACCCTTGTACCGAACGGTCATACGTTTTGTGCTGCGCAAAAATTCAATCAGTTCAATTTGGCCATTACAAGAAGTGGGTTATTGATGTAGACAAATGCTCATGTACCTTTACAGGTCATGTTATGTATGTTATTACCAAAGATAAAAATGTCAGTCAGTCAGTCACTCACTGAATAGTGTCTGACAGTGAACTCTAGGAAGGAAACAGGTTTCCTTGCATAATTTGAATATTATGACACTGCTAACGTTTAAAATTCAAAGATAGGGCATACGTGACATATTCATAATTCCTGCAAAGTTCTACAGAATTTGATGTTGGCTGCAAATGGGACATAATACCTTTAACCAATGATCGAGTTTTAAAAATATATTGGTAGAATATGGGCCTGACTGGTTTAAAAGTTCAGACTCTCATGTTTGATACCAAATTTAAAAATAGAATGTCACAACTTACCGGGAATAACTTAAACAAAGGGAACCTGGTAAGCCGGACTCCTCTAGACTTTGTATAACCCGGGCAAGGGACCGGAAATCGATCCAAGTACTGAGAAAACAACCCGATGAGAACAACGGTCCTGTAAGATATAAACAAAATTATGCTCTATCGGTTTGTCCGTCTCGTTCTGAAATCGTAACTTATTTCTAAACAATTTAAGAAGGGAAAAAAATTCCAACAGCAAGAAAAAAGAAACAAATTCAGACGCCAAACCTGCCAACCTTTCAGGGCAAAATTTAGGAATCTCTTAAGCTAAAATTTGGAATGTATTTTGTATATTTTTTACATAAGATTCTCTCTCTCTCTCTCTCTATCTCTCTCTCTCTCGTTACCTTTTTTTCTTTCTTTCTTGGAGAAGGTGGCACATGCCTTTTTGCCAGCGTCACAAGGATGTAGCATTCTTTTATTGAACATATCGAATTCTATCGAGATGGTTTCAAAGGTAACTGGAAGAATAGCATTTGTTTACACATCCATTTATTGTTCAGTACTAATTAACGATGAACATGATGAATAGTATGATAGTATGGACACTGAATGTTACTGTCAGCATTTTGCACGGAGAATGTATACACCCGGAAAGTGAACGTGTTATTTTAGCACCACAAGAGTATACGCAGACACTTATGGGTGCTCGTGATCAAAATAACAACTCGGGCTGTTCTCCTTTAGCACCTCTAGAACACTTTCAAACGGTGAATAAATTGTGGAAAGTAATCATACCACCTAGTTGGTACCTTACCGTAAAGCCTATCTGCACTAGTTCGGCCAGGAGGGAATAGACCTCCCTGCATGGCCACTGGACAGGTGGTTATCTAATCAAATCAGCTCCTAAACACATAAAAGGGGATCATTGGGGACCAATAGCACCGATTAGGCATTTTTTGCTATATAGAAGGCGCAAGAAGCTATAAGTAGTGCAGTAGTGCTTTAAAGGGATCGGGTATCTTTGCCTCAGATTCTAAACAAAATCCTGGAATGATGTCATGCTGCAATCATAATGATAAACTTTTAGGTCAGTTTGGAATTCATGACTTTTACAAGTCGATCGCTTGGCCTATTATCAAGATATTTGTGATTGGAATTCGAAATTCAAAAACCCTTTTCCCAACGGTTTTTATAACACTACAGTCTACTGGGGAAAATGATTATGGTAAATCCGGTCACTCAAAGCTTTTTTACTTTTTTGAGGCACTTCATGATCATTTTGAAGCGCAATTTGTTCAGGGCTTCAATATGACACCATATCACAGACACTGATAATACGTAGGGCTATGCATCTCAACTGGAAACATTGTTAAACAGTGCCTTTAATACCTTAGTCATCATGTCAAGACCGCAATCAGACCGACAACACACCTGACGACAATATTACGTCTTTGGCCAATAATCAGTCTGTTAGGAGTCGGTCTAGAGTCTGTTTGGCGATTTGACTGAGGTATTATACCAAGCCATTATGGGAATCAGAACCACCCATTACAACAGCGTATTCCTGTCAAATTCCAAACAATCTTCAGAACAATCTCATATCGTTATTGCCTTGCACTAGAATCAGCGGGGCCAATCTACAGGTTTATAGTTTTGCACAACTATTTTTGCTCTTGGCATCTCACCGTTTTATAAGCAATCCCGAAATTACAAAATGTTGCTTCTACATTGCTCTTCTGAACTCATAACTCACATTCCTGAAATGCCCCAGTGTTGGCTGGCGTTCGCAGATGCCACGTTGAACAGGGACATACCGATGAGAGCGATAGTAGGTGCGATGGTGAGTGGTCCTATGAACTTCAAAACAAGACTGGTTATGCCGGTAAAGCCGACAAACATTTCGTAGAGCGACGCAATGAGGACTGCCCCTTGAAGCTATAGAAGATAGCACAAAATAAAAATTCTCGAAAATTGTACGCCGTTCGTCGTTTACTGTTCTGATCACTTAAGCAAAAAACACAAACTGTCATGCTTTTTTTTTTTATCCCATGATGGTTTAATGTGATTACATTTGGTAACTAAATAAAGGAACTATACAAAAATATTTATTGACATGACTACAAAGGGCCACACGGAACATATTTCCCTCCCCAATCGTAAACAAAAATATTCAAAAGGGGAAAAAGAGGAAATGGAAGAAAGGAATAGGGTGAAAATATAATATTGCCTCCCCCACACAAGCACTAATACCAGCAGCCTTTTAATGAGCATTGGATCCACCAAGGAAGACCAGTACTTCCTTCTCACGAGTTGCAAGTGCCCCTGATATCCAAGGGGGGAAATTCAATTTGGTTAAAAGTAACTACAGTGTGCAAAATATGGCAAGTCTATGCTATTGTATCCAATTCATTGAAATACAGGCTTAAATATTGGCTTCCTGGGAGTAATTTCAGCTCACACCAAGTAAATTAAGATCGTGTACTCGATCTTTTATAAATAACAAAGTCAGAAAAATTATTGGAACCGGCGGGATTCGAACCTGCTTACAGGGCAGCGACTACCACTAGGCGATCACTGGTCCATGGTACAGTCACGATGAACTGAAAACAAATACCCATGTTCTCCTAATTCTGACAAAATAATATTCATCAATCCGACATGAGAAAAAAAGCTAGATTTGAATATATTTAGTTATCGACCTCTTCAAAGATTTCAGAATAATGGAGTGTATCAAACTGATAACTCTACTAGGGCTTAAAGAGACAAAATGTTCACATTTTACAACTCAATACAGTCACACGTTGTAACGTGTGGGACATACATGTATCTGGACTTTCCGTGTTTTTATATGTAAGGCCCATGATCTTTTCTTGACCCTACCTTCAGATGAAATAGATCAGACATATTTTCTATCAAATCTGGAACCTTCGACTTTGCTCTGGTTGTATTCTCAAAACTCATTTTAACTAGTTTTTTTGTGTCATGTTTATCAATCAAAGGGCATACAAAAGGGTTTCTAGAGTCGTTCTTTCAAACCTTAAAAAAAATAGATTTATACAATTATGATATTGTAGCACGATGTGTCCTACAAAAAAATCCCTGCAATTAGGAAATACAAGATTACACAGTTAGAACGGTGTTTAAAATATCATTGTTTAAAATAATGTTGTTTAAAAACGTAAACAACGTTGTTCAAAATCGAAAAATCAGTGCTCGATTGGCTTAAACAACTATTTATTGAAAAACAAAAAGATTTAATTAAACAGAGTTGTTTAAAAAGTCCCGGGGGAAAAATCACGTGATAGATTTAACCAATCACGATTTCGCGTCGTTGACATTTTCTCGATACGCGATTGCAATTCGCGCGCACACATGCCAAATGCACAAAGTACGTACATAGTACATGCATGCAAGCATGCAGTGCTAGTGTGCAGTGCAAGTGCTAGTGCAGTGCAGACGAAAATGGCGGAACAAGGGCAAGGCGATGACTTTGTTCTTCTCGGCTTCGCCGATGGGGTGTAGGTGAGACAATATAGAGACAAATAAATGTTGTCTGTCACTGTTAAATGAATATGATGAACAAAATATGTTGAAGTAAATTGGCAACAAGCTCACATGTTACAGTGTAATCTTTGTGATTATTGCAGGAGTGGTTCCAGTAGGTCATTTCACAAATTTAAACAACCAGGTAATAACCATTAAACAGTTCTGTTTAAAATTTAAGCAACTCCTTTTAAACAACCCAGTTTTGCAGTAATATTGAATAAACAACAGTTGCTTAGTAATTCAAACATTATTGTTTAATATTTACACAACTTGCTTTAAACAACCGAATTGTGCAATTTTATTACTAAACAACTGTTGTTTAAAAGTTTTTCTAATTTTTAAACAACTAAGTGTTCCAAACGTAAACAACCTTAAGTTGTTTAATTTTTAAACAACAGTTGAGCGATTCACCGGTTAACTTGTGGTTGTTTAAAATTGTAAAGAACTTATTTAATTTGTTTATAACTGTGTATTATCAGTAAAAGTAAGAGATTTGAATTTGTTAACTTCACACTGTTTATAAAAGACTGGTAAAATAATTTAAAAAAAAGGTTATTGTGTTTGTCATTATCCCAGGATGAAGAGTTGAATATGTACAGGTGAATTAAACCCTGAATAGGAGGGTACATGGTAGGATGTATTCTATACACTGAACGCTACGGTCGGCGGAGCAAAGGTCCCGAAAAAGGATACCCCGTTTGTTGAAAGTGCATAGAGAAGTTCTATGATGATAATAATATTACTACTAATAATAATAATAATAGGAATAGTCACATTTGTATATCCCACAATGTAATGTTTCTAAGCGCTTTACATTGGATGCAATTGCTCATCTGCACATGAACGTGGACACGCTCCGATCCCTTGGGAGTATTCTGGCTACTAGGTCCCATTTCACAAGCGCACACATGTCAATTCTAACATACTTACTTTCACATCCTACTGGGTACTTTTAATCATCCTCAAAACAGGGAACATATTTGAACTTGGGTGGAGAGTGGCAAATGTAGATTAATGTCTCGCCAAGGGATATGACATGAGCTATGCAAGAACAGAATATTGTTATTACTATATAATGATAAAAAATAATACTTACTTCTTGCATTCTATCTCTAAATTCAAGCCGACTTTCTTCTTGGATTTCAGTAAGATTGGTCGTATTTTCTGGATAGGCTATTCCGAAATAAAATGTTAAGGAGATAATTAATTGATTGATGATGGCGTATTTCTACTCGATTTTTTTTTTAATCCACAAACGCGAGAAAAATTCAGAAAATGGAATCAAGGATTGTCCTGGATTACTTTAGAATCGCGATCGGCTATGGAGAATCTTACGATGTTATTATTGTTATTGAGACTATTATTATTATTTTTATCATTATCCTATTTGTATTATTATTGTTATTATTACTACTTCTACTATTACTACTTGTACTACGACAATGGCTACTACTAATACTACTTTCATGACTAGTATTTTTTTTTTATAATTAATACTAATAGCATAAAATTCCACATCAGTGGTATCACAAAAGATGCAGTTTCTCTTTTCTGTTTTACATTCTGAATTTTCCAACAGGTCAACTAATTTTACAAGTTAGAAGTTCATGCCCAAATATAAAGATACAATAAAATGTTCTCCCTTTTTCATGTCTTTAGAAGTAGTTGTTAGGAAAGCTCTTTATGTAATCATGGACTCCCTCATATAACATTTGAAAATGTGCATTCACCAAAGTAACCATTTATGTACTAGATGGCGGTCGTCAACAATTTAGTTCTTTTCATGATGTACACAGTGAACGTAACACCTCAATATTATGCTATCATCAATATCATCATCAACAGGTGCAAGTGTCCAGGGGCGGGGGGGGGCAATTCGTGAGAAAGTTAGCGACGCGTTTAAATTTGATGAACTGGGGGAGTCTGAGGGGGGATGTGCCCCTCTCTTAAGCTGAAGAAAAATCGAATTTTTAAACTAAATTCGTGCGGTGTGGTGTATAATTTTTGCCAGGATATCATTATAAATCTGTGACTTTTCCCAGCATAATTTTATGACAAATCCTTAGATTTCTAAGAGGTTCTCCTGTTTGTTTACTTGTTAAGAATTTGTTTAGAGCTTGATGAATTACATTTTTGGGGGGCAATTTCTAATAATTACTTTCTGTTTTCGATGACCCTCTGGTATAATGACCTGTATGGTTGCCGTAAGGAAGGGGGTGGACGTGAGCGCTGGACTATTATAATGAAAACGAATTAAGTAATTTTTTTTTTTTTTTTAGGGAATATTATGATTTTCAACAACAACAGGACATACCTCCTACATCAGCTGGGCATTCATCTCGGAGGTTCATAAGAGAGAAGACCGGCAGAATAAAAGCGAACGATGGGCCTTGGACGATTGGAAGTCTGCAGGATAAGGATGATAGTGATAATAATAGTAGTAGGAGTATATTAATAGTAGTTTTAGTAGTAGTTAGTAGTATAAGTAGTAGTAGTATAAGTAGAAGTAGTAGTAGTAGTAGCAGTAGTAGTAGTAGTAGCAGTAGTTGTAGTAGAAGTAGTAGTAGTGGTAGTAGTAGTATTAGTATTAGTATTAGTATTAGTAGTAGTAGTAGTAGTAGTTGTTGTTGTAATATGATTTTTTTTTAATGATGATTTCTACTAGTAATGATAATAATAATAGTAATAATGGAAATATCAATACAAATATTATATGACAACAATAAAAATGAATTTCCGTTTCGGTTTAATAAAAAAATTTGGAGTGGACTATTAGGCTATTATTATTATTAGTAGTATTATTATTATTATAATGGTTCGAGGGAGTAGGTACACAATAAAGAAGAGTCTCTTTCGTCGATACTTTTAAATTATACACGTTAAATCACTGCATAGAATGATAATATCACCATCCAATCAAAATTCGTTTTTTACAATAGACCAATTTACAGTTAAATGACACATGTCTCAAATGACGCCGAATATACACAGATCTTCAAAATATGAAGAGGTCCCACTTTGTACATTTTGAAATAATCCCTCCCACAGCGTCTTTTCAAAGAATACATCCACCTGTGTATCATGGAGTGCACTGCTTGTGCATAAATGAATAATGATTACATAACTTTCATGATTACGTATCTAGTATTTTGTCTCCGTGTATTTCACAATTTGGTCTGAAACGACCTTTATCGGCTCATGCACAGACTGCAACTATTTTGAAGCAGACAATTTTGAATAAGGACAAGAATAAGTTGGAAAAGGTGCAGAGGGCTACAAAACTCGTCGAAAGTGTAAGACACTTCAACTACTCAGAGAGACTCAAAGCACTGAAAATCCCCACTCTACAGTTCAGACGGAAACGATCTGATATGATTTAAGTATTCAGAATAATGCACCAGTTTGATAATCTTCAAGAGCAACATTTCTTTAGCAGAACAAAGTGCAGTCGCACACGTGGTCACCCACTTAAGCTTTACAAGCTAAAATGCCGGAAGACACTAAGGAAAAACTCATTCAGCCAGAGAATAATCAATGTGTGGAATGGTCTTCCAGGCGGTGTTGTGGAGAGTACCACTATCAATCGTTTCAAATCTGGGCTAGAGAAATGGTGGAAAGATGCCCCAGATAAATATGAAGACAACCCCAACCAAACGAACCATGGATAGGAACAACAGTCTAAAGACTGAATAATCCTGGATCAAGTGATACACAAGTGAGTTATGAACTGGCTTATCAGAATAAACGATATAACCAGTAACTATTCAGGTTTAAAGGAAGGGTTCTCACCTGCTTCCAAAAGTGGCTTGTAGGAATGTCTGAATTCCGGACACGACGAAGACAGTCGAGATCAGTTGGGCGTTGGTGAGCAAGTCACCCTGAAAACACATTACTGGAGCAATAATTAGCGGGTAGGTAAACAGGCTGCTCATCTCCGTAAGAAAGTGCTACAAATGAGAGAGAAAAATGATTTGCCTTCATATATATATACATAAAGCCTCACTGCACTAATTGGCCAGGAGGAATTAGACCTCCGTGCATTGTCACTGACGATCAGCCATGCATGAAGTCTTTCGTCTTTTTTGTGCATGGCTGATCGTTAACGGAACGGAGTTAACTCTTTTGTCAACTCTGTTTGTTGCTACGGCAGGAAGCCAGTGAAAACGAATTCGTTTAATCAAAATATGGAAATGCAATCATTACCTCAAACGAACAGAACTTTGTTATTACTACCTCATTTTTGCTGATTGAGGTGTCATATGAAAGGGCAAAAATGAACTTTCTAGAAATGTGATTTCTCTTTGAAATCCAGATGCCGTCTGCCAAATGACTTTTTGGTTTCCTCTCTTCGAATCGCATTTAATCACTCATGCGTGAAATATGCATCATACAAGTTACATCGAGTTATAATAAAACATCGATAACTCTCGGTTTCGTTTTTTCTGGGACGCACTGTATATTGGAACAACAGTAATATGTACAAAACAAAAGAATTTTCAACAATAATTTTTCAACTATAATCTCAAAGAAATACATAAGGAAAGAGATATAGAGAGACACATTAAAAAATATAAGGAAAGAAAAAGGAAATAGTTACATAAGGAGAAATAGAGAAATAATGAAGGCATTAAAAAAAAACGAATAAATAAATAAATAAATAGAAAAAGGAGAAGAAAAAAAAATTATAAGGAAAATATTTCAGGAAAAAGAGAAAGAGAAACAAGTGTAAAACATTAACAAATATATTAGAAAAGAAAAAAAAAAAACACGTGTATCATGGGCACAGGAATGATTAAATATTTGTATTCAGAGAAAGTAGAAATTTATTTATTTGTTGGTACAAAATAAAACAGGAGAGCTCCTGATGTCACAGATCTGCCAATTTCCGTTTGATCGATTTCAAATTTGAAACTTAACAACTGTCTTATCCTTTATCGGACTTTCACCGAACTTTTACCTATATGCTGTTCTCATTTACTGCCTTTATTAAAATCAACTTTAAGTCGGGGAGGAAGACAGACAGCAGGATGAAAAGGGAATATCGAGATTATATTTGTTTTCTATTATAGCATAATCGGTCTTGTATAAGTCAGTAATTCTCATATCTATACTGATCTTTAATTATGATTGCTCGTCATCAGGGGCGGTGGAGCGTCTATCAAAGTGTGGGGGGGGGGGGAAGGGGCGACTAAAAAGGGAATCCTGAAAACAAAAATATACAACTTTTAGACATTGGTATACACGGTCCAAGATACCGCAAAAGCATAATACTTTGCAGTTGGGTGTGATGGTCTGAATATTCATTTGCGTGGAAGCGAAACGAGCGAGCAACAATTAGAATAGTTGTGAGGTCGCAGTGCCAAAAATTGCATCTTATTAAGAGAAAAAACAACCCTGGTGGGGTTTTAAGCACAATCCAATAATATCCTCATTGCTAGGAAAATTTCACTTGATGCTTTTTATTCTTTTACTTTGTCAGGGGTATGACATTTGTAATTGTCCATTTTGCACAAAATGTTTCTTTGCCCTGAATGAAGAACGACATGATGCTTTTCAAACTGAAAGAATGATTTAATATAATGTGTTATCAGTTATAAATATATTTGTATTTTCACTGTTATTTAACAGTGTACATTCAATTGCTATACTAGATTACATGCATTAATTGTGCATATTATCAAGTAATTTATTATACTGCAATATTTTTTTTTTTTGTAAATATGTATATACAAATTTTGGTATCCTTGTTGTCTTTCTTAACTGAGCGTACGTAGTTTCTATGCTTTGTTTATAAACTCTAAAAAGTATATGTTGCCTTTTTTCAAAGTCTAATAAATACCAAAATATGCTAATAGATACTTTTCATCGGATTTAAAAACTAATTACCATCTATACTATATACCGTATAAACTATTGTTCCTTATTACGTTTAACAGGGCCTCATGGAGGACCACCATCATTGGTGATAATGGGTCACCCTCTCTAAATATCACAAGATAAATAAATAAGTAAATAAATACAAGAATGAAAAGACCTTTAATAAGAAACAAAATTATATCACTTTTAAATGCGAGCAAGCGTAGCGAGCGTGCTTTTTGTGAAATCAAATGAGTAGTTGCTCTTAGTCGCTTTAAATTGGAAGTACATTTTATGGTGAAAGGAAAAGGGGGCATTGATCCAAAGGGAAAAGGACACTTACTAGAAAAGAAAGAATAACAGTAAAAAATACAAATATATTTATAACTGATAATACATTATTTTAAATCATTCTTTCAGTTTCAAAATAAAAATGGGAATCATCAAAAATGAAAAGGGGGCACTTATCAAATGTGATAAGGGGCACTTGTACCTGAAAAGGGGCACTTGTGAAAATGGAAAGGATACTTATTACAACAGAAAATGTGCACCTGTCGAAGGAAAAGGACACCTATCAGATTTTAAAAGAGGAGGTGAAAAGGGGCATTTATAAGAGATGAAAAGGGCACTTATAACAAAGGGCAAGGGTAAAAGTAAAAGAGTAAAAGAGCACCTCTCAGATTTTAATATGGTCAATTCTTATTGGTGAAGGGGGCTCTTATCAAAGTTGGTAAGGGGCACTTATACAAAAGTGGAACGGGCGCCTATTAGAAATAAAAAGGGGCATTTATCTGAAACAAAATGATGCACTTCTCATATGTAAAAAGGGGCGCTAAAGGGATCCTTGAAAAAAGTGGGGGCACTGTGCCCCCTTTCCTCGTCCCCCTCCCCCGGGTCAGCCGCTTCTGTTAATTATATGAATCATACTGCAGCATGTCTAAGTATCTACACAATCTTTCACAATGGACATACTGGTAACTCATTGCACATGTGTAATATAAGTTTAATTTAATGTCACCTCCATGTGTATAATCGTAGGATAGGCAATACAGCTTTAAAATCATTTGTAGAGCTATAACGTAGGAAGACAGACTGAGGTGAGAAGTGTATATTGAATCTGCCCCTATTTCTGTATTACTAGTTCTTATAGTTTACAGTAATTTGGATATCAGTCCGGTCAATTTCAGGTCAAAAACGCGCGCTACGCCATTATTAGCAAAAGCATTTTATAAAGAATCGCGCACACGCGCATGCGCGCCCGTTTTCGTTTGTCACGGCCGAACGCAAAATAATTCCTCCAAGATTTTTTTTGACACGATATTCCTCATTTTTTCGCGAACAATTTGATACCATATGTATCTCTTTATGAATAAGCGTGCATTTGCAACTGTTTGGATTTACTCTTTTTATTTCCTGTATATTATACAATAATCACACATTGGAGTGAATTTCAGATTTGTTCATGTATGGCTCATTTAGATGAAGAAATTATACATTTTTACGTGTAATGTGAAAATTAACAACATAAGAAAACCTTTATGTATGTACAGTACATAATACCGAAATAGGTTTACGTAGCGCCTTATGTAGTCCATCGGCCCTGAAATGTCCAACTGATTCCATAATCTCAGAATAATAACAGTTTCATTTAGATAAGAAACGAAAATGCAATTTATGAGCACCATAACGCCGTGACTACCTCAATCGCATAAAGTGCCTCGTGCCAATCATCATAAACTTGAATAGTTAAATACGAACCAACAATTCCTCACAGTCATGAGCGATAAATAAAGTAGGAAAATAAAAACCAAATTTAACAGTGTCTTTATTAGAACCTGGCATTATTTTAATAGCTTGACGTTTAAAGTATATCTGCACTAGTTTTGCCAGGAGGGATTAGACCTCCCTGCATTGTCACTGACAGGTGGTTATCTCATCAAAACAGCTCTCAATCAACATAAGAAAAAGGGGATCATGGGGGACCATTGGGTACCGCTTTAATAGGCATTGTTTGCTATAAAGAGGGCGCAAGTAGCTGCAAGTAGTGCAGTGGGGCTTAAAAAACATGTGCGCATGATAAACTTGTATGAAACCTTTAATTTACTTCCTTTTTGTATGAATAAACATCATAAATGAAAATTGTTGCTGACATTAATCACTTGCATTGACATGTTATTCAAACATTTCAACAGTTATGGAAGCCAAAAGATGCATATAAAAGATCCATGATATCTTTAAAGAACCCCTTATAGGAGGCGTGATATGTTGGTCGGTAGATCTCGGGTTTGAAACCAAGTCGATGCTTTAATTAGTGCCCTTTGGTAAGGCATTTATCTTCAGTCATGCCCTCGGATATGACTTAAAGCCGTAGGTCCCATTTGTTGGTAACTTGTTCGTGCTTTCTTAAAATTCAGGGAACATCACCATCACAATACTAAATTATTTTGATGTTTTTTTTTATTAATCAGACAGATGAAATATTTCTACATGTATACATTTCGGGAGTACTAATAGAGTTTTGACTTATGATAATAGTCGATTACCCTATCAAATTTAATATTATATTAATTGATGAAAACCTAACCCTCACCTGTGCTACAGATTATAGCCATTAATATGTTTGTAATTCCGTTGCAGCGTATGCACATAAACTTTATTGTCAGTGATTGCAGTGAAAACTTGAAAATGCTTATCAAAGTACAATCTGATAATATTGTAGAACAGAATCTGATAATATTGTAGAACAGAATTAAGTCCTGTATTTGTAATAAAATGGGTCAATCACTACACAATTACACTGTCAAATATTAGTGATAGTCCACCCCTATTTTACCACAAGCTTACATGGGCACAATTTACCTGAAATGCAAGCACGACAGTCGAGTACCACGGTGGCCTATCATCGATGCCATAAGTGACGATACTGTGGATGTTAGCTAGGATGGCTTCAGCCCTCTCCTTGGCCTCCCGAGTTCTCTGGAGTGGTACTGTTTCATCTCGAACCTCCTCCAGCTCGATATCAGCAACGGTTCCGTTCTCCATGTCGAACCTATGCTTCCAACCTAACAGCGACTACACAGCACACTCTCATGGAAAGCGCGCACATTAAAACTGAGTAGTTCAGTCAGGCGTCCTTTACTGTTGTTATTCAAGTGAGACAAGGTCGGGCTAAGTGTGTTTAGGCCTTTTATCACTTGACACGACCAAAATAGTGAATGCTATTGATCATGAGTCGGGAGTACGAGCAAACGTCAGTAAAATAGAAAGACCGATATTTAGTTTCATAGACTAGTGGCAAACAGAATTGAACGGATATCAAAGGTCAAATCTAGAAACGTCACTGGTTGATTGATAGAATTGAAAGGAAATATCAGAACATGTTGAGCTGCACTGACAGTGAGCAGCGTAGATACGTGTTGTATAGCAGATTAAGCTCCTTCCCCACGATACTGAATAATTATTTTCTTTTATTTTTATTTACAATTTGTCCAAAATGGTATATGTAACTTGACAATGTCGGCCTCTTGCCAAGCTGCACACGACAGTGAAAGAGTTAATGATAAGTTCTTACTTGTCTCACACCACAAATTATTAGTTATACAGTATAGTGTTGTCTAGAAAGTTGTACAAATGGTCTTATTCGACGGCACACTTATTCATTTCAGGTTTAGAATCATATAATATAATGAATCAATGAATTACAATTCGAATTGCCATTTTGCAGCAGGAGCTTTTTCAGAAGTCACCCCCGTTGTCTAGTTAGTTTCAATCAATACAGAACAAATGAGAGAATGAACTTATAGAGTTATTGTGGCGGAAAATTGATTTGGTGGTTTGTGTGTGGGATGGTGGGGTGTAGGTGTTGATCCATGACATGAGAGGGCGGAGTAATGTTGTGGTAGCGAGAATCACCGGAGTTTATCTGAATACTGCTTCTCATTCCCTCGGTCTCATGTCTCGGTTCCCACACACTCCCGCTACCCTTTTATTGGTGTAGAGCGGTCATTTAAAAGCAGTAGGCCGGATATTATCGAACGAAGGGAAGTTGTGATACCCACTGAATCAATATTCGAGCCAGAGGAAAAGAAACAGCACCATCTAATCATCACTGATGAATAAATAAAAAAACAGTATCGTTTCAGATTAGACGTTCTTATGAACCCAACAAAAACACCACTTATTGAATCATACACGACTTGTTGTTACTCTTCAATGAGGGCACTGAGAGCCTGATTTATGGTGCAACTATATTGGAAACCTTAAAGCTTCCTTTTTATTGTGCAATGTTTACAATGTAAGATGTCATCTATTCTGGTAATATCCGTGACTATATACTAATTCATATAACAACATAACATCTCCAATACACCTTATTCCTGGACATCGTAGTGCCTGGTACATAATCCTATATAAGTCTGAAAAATGATAAAGCATACTGATCGAGAGAAATGGAGTAAGCAGAGGGGCTGGGGCGAATAAGAAGTTAGGGCAACAGTTACGAGCTTAATTTACCCTGTAAATAAGTTATACTCTGTATTATTAGTCCACTGTATCCCAACCCCCGAATGATAACATTAAGGTAATACAAAGTTTTGGTATGGGGTCATGAATTTGGTTCAAATGAACATATTGGAAGCATATGCGATCCTACAATATTCAATGATCGTTGTCGCGGTTGAAATCGAGTCTAAAGTTATGAGACTGTAAATAATAAACTCTTTATGTTGTATAGCTCCCTCTCAAGGTCAAGATATTAATTAAGCTATTAAACAATGATTCTTGACTAAAATCGACCAACTAGCTATTCCCGTTTGGAAAATATATATCACAACTACACGTTCTGAGATTTTCATGGTCGCAGCTACCATTGTGCGGCCGTAAGCGCTATTAGAAATTTATCAACATTTACCGGGAGCACCGGTAAATTTTTATATTCAATTTTTCCTCGAAAGCAGAAGTGTTTTATGGGCTAAAATTTCTAGTGCTTATAATACATCCACAGGGGCATCCAAATATATTAAAATTGTAAAGAATCACTATCCACCCAATATTCAAAATTTCCCCAAACTTTGTATTCGTCCCTGGTTAATCTGTATCGGCTGGGATGGTTTGATAAACACCACGGAGAAAGGAGGTAGCGGATGAGACAGAAGAGGAACTGTTATTACGAGCTCTACTCTGCAAACAAGTTACCCCTCCTAGTTCTCTCTCTGCACATCGTCCTCACAGTCTAGCCCTATATTTATATGGGGTACAGTTGATCAAACGCAGAGGCCAATTAGGAGGGATGAGGTACGAGACATAGGGAAATGATAATGCGAGATTTACTCTGCAGTCAGATACCTAGCGGTGGTTTCTCTCCCTGTTCATCGCCTTCCAAACCAAGGTTTAGCTTCTCTGCATGATATTAACTAGGTTGGGCCGCTGCCTCGATCCGGATCCGCCACCCCTTCCCGAGAGAGGTCGACTATATTGTACCTCGTTGTGATGCCTGCATTCCCAGTCTATTACAAATTGGAAACGCTGAAACGTATCTTACTCGGTACAGCAACGTTCGTGAATGATAATTTAATTTTTTTGCTAATGAAAGTAAAGAGTTTTGTATAGAGGGGCTACATAGAGACACATGTGCAATCAAAAATTGCTATATCTAAGGGAAATGTATGATACTAAATTTTCTTTAGAAAAAAGGAGACTGTCTCTAAATGTTCTACTTTCATGGAATGTAGCTCCATAATTATGAGGGTAGACTGCTCCTTTAATACTACCAATCTATGAGAAACTAAGTTGATGCGATAGCGCCCTGTGGTATGCCATTATTCCTCATTACCAAGTCCGGCGGAGAGGAATTAAAACCGTCGGTCCCTAGGTTGCGTAGTTACAAGCATAACAATTGTGTCTTAGTAGCAGTCAGGTAAGTGCATGTAACAAACTATTAGGCCCGTATTTGACAAAATGAATTTGAATCAAATTTAATTTTTTTCCACATCTCCATTTTAAAAACATGTATAAAAGGCATTACAAAAATATACAGACAAACAAATAAGTAAAGATTAATGTTAATGTAGTAGGGTCATAACAAATTTGATACAACTTGCAAGCATGATCCTATTAACGTGACAACAAAATATACATCATAAGTACAGACAAAGATACAATAGTGACAACAAATAAACACGGAGAAGTGTAAATTGATAACCATATTCAAACTTTTTTAGGAGAATTTTCTTTCTCATTTATCAAAGACATTTAACAATACTTGTTATTTATTTCAAACCCGACTCTGGGTTCAGACGTTTGTTCAAAATTACGTCAAACAGATGAAGTTGCAAAGAATGAAAGATGCTAGGGTTTCCCTTGCCGCACAATATATATCTACATCAGTCCACCATTACTATAACAATTCTCAGTTGTTGCGTGTGACTTTGAGACTTGAAAACTTTGTTCTCCTTGGCAACTATTTACAGCATTAATCTGTTCTAAGACTACCCTAAATTCGAATAATGACAAATAGAAGTACGATCATGAATCAATCTTGAGTAAACATGAATATTAATTATGTTATTCGACCTACGTTCTTCATCGTACGGCACTCGCTGAAACAAGATAAATGCACTTATCAAATTGTACAATAGTAAGAAACATGAATTATATTAATGCGTCAAAACGTCACTTCATCAAAGAAATATGTATAAAAAGATGCACATACAAGTTTCCTCTCCATTTTTCAATTGACAGCAAAGGTCATTTCCTTTTACTCATTAAAAGGTCCACAGATTATAAATTTAAGTGAATTCAACTGTTAGAGAATGGTTAGGAACTAAATGTTTTTGATAACGAGCAAATCACATGCAGTTTAAAATCTAAAAATGCACACGCCTTTTTGTTTTACTAAGCAAAATCAGACAGTGCACACACGAGCCGTAGATCTTGGCAATCCTCAAGATGTCATCCGATTGAATGAACCTTGAGCATTCATCAATATACAGAGACAATCTCATGTGACACCCGGACGCATTATCCAAAGTGTTCACTTTTTATGATGATAATGTGTAAGAAATTGCTTTTAAATAAACAGTTGCCTCCATGGTTAATGAAAACATTCATTAGATAGGCATGAATCATATATCTCTCTTCGCTACTAATTTGTATAAGACATTATTCAAGATATTATATACAGAATTTGAAGCTTAGGCAGACTATATTCATATTTGAAATATACCGGCTACGTAGAAAAAGGTATCTGATGCAACATGCTTGATAAGGCTTTTACAATAAAACCATGTTATGAAAATAGTTACATTAAAATTGTGCATCATGAACGAGTACACGGTCGTATTATACAATGGTGTTAACCAATGCTTTGTCACCTCCTTATTTGGAAACATGTATATTCCGTAAAGCATTGAAATAAAAAACAAACATTCGGGATAGGTTACATGTGTATATTAATATATATAGGGCAGTGGCTTTGAATGTGAACGAAATACGCTCTCTATCAGTCCATCTGTCATTATGTCTGTTTCTCTGTCTGCCCCTTTCCTTCTCTTTCAACCCCTCTCTCTCTCTCTCTCTCTCTGTTTCTCCCCTTCCATCCCTCTATTTTTCTCCCACTCCAAGATGGACAGATTTCTTTTCTTCAAAATAATGTTGTTAACAATATGTGCTTATATCAGAAGAAAGAGAGTTTTTTATTGTATGGCCGCACTCGCGGAGCCCAGATATATCAAGTGCATTGAAAAACACTATTTATCTGTCTGTCTCGCTCTTTATGTCTCTCTCCCGCCTGCCCCTCCCAAAAACAAATAAGGAGAGGATTGGAGTGAACAAATTCTTGAATGTCTTTAAAAAAAAAAAAAACCTTTGTTATTCAACATGAAAGTTATTGGTAATTAAACGTATATATGTAGTGAGTGTGCATAATGGAGCATTAGCTTTTGGTTTGTGCAAGCAGTCAAATTTTCCTAAAAGAAAGCTTTGAATAAAAGACCAGCCATTTCTGTGTTCATCTCTAAGTACACATCAGGCGCGGATCCAGGGGGGGGGCCGAGCGTGCCTTGCCCCCCCCCCCCCACCCCGCAAAAAAAAAAAAAAAAAAAAAGGAGAGAGAGAGAAGGAAAAAGGGAAAGAGGAGAGAAAGGGAAAAAAAGAAGAGGAAGAAAAAAAGAAAAGAGGTAAGAAGGAGATCGGGGGGAAAGACTTGCCTCCCCCTTCCCCCCCCCCCCAATAAAAAAATTAAAGAGAAGGAAGGAAAGGGAAAGAAAAAAGATAAAGAGGAGATAAAGGGAAGGACAAAATATGAAGAAGAAAAGAAAAGAAGGGGGATATCAGTTGCAATTTTCCCGCCAACAAGGTGTAGATCGGAGGGGGGAGGGGCCACTGGCATACTGATAGGGGAGGGGGGGTTGGAGAAATAGAATTTAAACGTGGTTTATTTATAATTCCATAACGGTGGTTAACAAATAATGCTGAAATGAGATAATTTTCCTCACTTCATGCGTTTGTTGGAAAATGACAAATTCCTAAATTTACAGCCAGGCAAGAAAAGGCGGGTATCGGGATCCTCGAGCCCCTCCCCCCACACTTTCTTTGAAAAAGTATATTAATGAGAAATAGAAAGAAAGATAGCGAGAAAGAAAAAATAGTTATCTGCCAGTGTCACATTATAATGGGGTATCAAAATATGCTCATCTGACCATGATTAAAATTAATGCCTAAAATCCTAAGGGCTCTGCCCCCTGGATTCCGGCTAGGGCCCTAAGGCGGGCCCTTAGATGCTCATATGACGGTCATTTAATGCCTAAAACCCCTGATTTCTGGGGGCTCGGCACCCTGGACCCCACTCCAAATAGTGTCCTGCTAGTGTCACAAATAATAAGGTATCAAAAATACTCATCTGACCGTAATTAAACGCCTAAAACCCCTGAGCTTCTGGGGGATCTGCCCCCTGGACCCAACGAAGAGCCCTTAGGCGGGCCCCTCGATACTCATCTGACCGTAATTGAGTGCCTAAAATCCTTGAGCTCCGCCCCCTGAACCCCAAGCCAATTAGTGACCTGCCATTGTAACAATTAGGTATCAAAATAATGCTCATCTGACCGTAATTAAATGCCTAAACTCCTGAACTTCCGGGGCTCTGCCCCCTGGACCCCGTCTAGGGCGCTAAGGCGGACCCCTGAATGCTAATCTGACCGTAAATTAAAACCTTAAACCCCTGAGCTTCCGGGGCGGACAAGGTATCAACATATGTTCATCTGACAGCAGGCGCGTAGCCAGGGGGGCGGTGGGGTGGTCCCCCAATAAACGCCGGCCAAAAAAGAGAGGAGTGTAAAGGAAGAGGACGTAGGAAGAAAAGGGAATAGACAAAGAACATATTTGAGTCGAGAACGGTACAACGAATCGTCTTCTTTCTCTAATGAATTGATGAAACTTCAAAGCTTCCGCGCTATGCGCGGGGGAGGGCAGGGGGAACTTAATTCAGACGAGGATAGTTTTCGGGAACAGTACAACGAATCGTCTTCTTTCTATAATAATTTAATGAAACGTCGAAGCTTCCGCGCTTCGCGCGGAAGGGGGGGGGGGATTGATTTAGTCAAGGATTAAGAGTCGAGAACGGTACGTCTAATCTTCCTCTTTCTCTAATGATTTAATGAAAAGTAAAAGCTTCCGCGCTTCGCGCGGGTGGGGAAACTAAATTATTTTCGAGAGCGGAACAACGAATCGTCTTCATTCTCTAAAAATTTAATGAAATGTCGAAGCGGGGGTAAAACTGAATTTAGACAAGGATTAAGAGTCGAGAACGGTACAACGAATCGTCTTCTTTCTTTAATGATTTAATGAAACGTAAAAGCTTCCGCGCTTAGCGTGGGAGGGGGGGAACTGAATTTAGACAAGGATTAAAAGTCATAACGGTACAACGAATCGTCTTATTTCGCTAATGATTTAATGAAACGTAAAAGCTGTATTCAGACGAGGATTATTTTCGAGAACGGTACAACGAATCGTCTTCTTTCTCTAATGATTTAATGAAACGTACAAGCTTCCGCGCTTCGCGCGGGAGGGAGGAGGGGAAAACTGAATTAAGATGAGGATTAAGAGTCGAGAACGGTAAAACGAATCGTCTTCTTTCTCTAATGATTTAATGAAACGTAAAAGCTTCCGAGCTTTGCGCGGGAGAGTAAAAAACTGTACAACGAATCGTCTTCTTTTTCTAATGATTTAATGAAACGTAAAAGCTTCCGCGCTTCGCGCGGGAGGCAAAAAACTATTTTCAGACGAGTAGGCACGTACGGAAGGGGGAGGGGGTTAGGGGGTTGACCCTCCCCCCTTCGGTTTTTTATGTGTGTATTTTGGAGCAACCCCCCCCCCTTTTCTGTGATTTTTTTATTATTAATTTTAAAAAAAAAATTAAAAAAATATGCCAATGGCTGACCTAAAAAGGGTGACCCCCCCCCCCACGGTACAAAATGTCAAATTTTCAAATTTCGAGACCCCCCCCCCCCCAAAAAAAAGTGTCCTCTTCCCCCCCCCCCCCCCCCCCCCCCCCCCGGGCCCGCTTATTTAGCGGCTGGCTAAGTCGTTACGATTTTTTTCGGACCAAAAAAAAAAAAGTGGCCCCCCCCCCCCCCCCCTTAGGAATCCTGGATCCGCGCCTGGTACACATTACCGTGCTTCCTGTTGGGCCTTTCCACTTTATGTATTATTTCTTCATAGTTACTGTCCTTGCCTCCAGAACATTCTTGACTGGGGTCGTAGTCATAAGCAGGGGGAAGATCTTCGGGGGTCGCCCCTTCCTTGCGGTCTGAAGGCGTGAAACCCCCAAGCGGAGGCGCTGGCAATGTGCCGGTCCTATCAAAGTGCCTGTTCTGGACGGCGCCCGCGAATTCTGATTGAGCAAAGTCACCACCTTGGTTTTCCCTTCCCTGAGGTTGGGCGATGCGATGTTCCCTCAGCACCATGCCATTATTGGTCGTAGGCCGTTTCCTGGAAGCCATCCTTAGACAAATCAAAAGGTAATTCAACTTGTGTAATAAATCCATTTGTATTAAAGCGAAAAAATAGCAGAGAAAAGAGAGGCCGAAAGTTTGAAATAAATCGGTTCGATAATAACAGATTCATGAATGTTTGAAATATGCGATCACCAAACCTTTGAGAATATCAAACTTGACAATTTGTTCATTGGATTGCGATGTAGTTATGTCGTGTAGAAAAATCAATCATTTCTTTTTTTTTGGTGAAAGTTACTTCTCCCTTGAGGAACTACCCAACATACATTATGGAAAGCATATTATTATAAGTACTCAAAAGAAGTAAGAAGTAAAAAAAAAAAAAAAAAAAAAAAAAAAAAAAAAAACCTTCCTGAGTGACACATTTTGAAAAATTGATATTTAAGTCATTTTCTGTTGATACAAATGGGAAAGTTTTTCGGCACGACCTCTCAAAGGTATAACTGATTCAGCCAATTTGAAGTGTCCATACTTCAGAAACGTATAGCGATTACAACCATGAACTTTTTCGAAATTCAAAACTTTCTTATTTTTTGTCCGATTTCGTTTAAACTTCCCCAGTCTGCTTCTATGATTGTTTGTTTAAATTTAGAATACTTGTCTATTACGTTTGATTTGTCTTCAACTATGAATTTATTTGTAGCACTATCGCTAGAACGTTCAAAAATCAACCCAAGGTAATTGTATTTTCCTTGTCAATCACCCATTGAAATGTGCAAACATGACAATGATATTTGATAGACTACTCCATCGAGAGGCTTTAGCTTGGTAAGCAGTATAAACATTAATCTCCATTTTCGTCGCCTATCTGTACCTAACTAAATAACCGTAACCATTCGGTCTCTCCTCCCGGTAGAACTGATTGGGGATGTGGTGGCGGACCGCCGGACAACCACACTAGGAGTTCCCTCTGCTCTTATTGGAATAGTGCAGTAGGTGGTGACAATTTTTTTAGCGATCATATGTTGTGATTCTTAGTAGTCAAGATAACCATAATCATATTCCCTGTCAAAATCCTCATGCCAACCCCAAAGATATTTTGCCTAAACTCCCCTATGAAACTAGCGGTATGTTGAAGATGTTGAAGGAATATATTACTTTTCAATTAAATTAGATAAGATTAGTATCCATAATGAAAACTTACTTGTAGAGAAAACAAAAAATCATTCCGAGGGTAACTACAACCACTATTCCAACCACGATACCAATGATAACCCAGTCGACAGTCCACCTGGTTCTGCAAAGTATAAAATAGTACACATTTAGCACATAAAAGCCCCTCTCCAGGCTACTGAGACCGGAATTAATGCTCTCATATTGCAAGGTCTGACACAGGGTTAGAACCGGCAACCTGAAAATTCATTGCTTTTTGCAGCCAAATGGTTTCTCTTTCTCTCTCTCTCTTAACTACATGACAATACCATCTCACCAGCCAGGTCCAAAAAATACTCATGCAAAATATTAAAATACATTAATGGCAAACTAAGCATTCGGCTTGGAATCGGGTTAGAGTCAGTTTGGTTATGACTGACGTACAATGTTGTAATCACTTGGGTTAACTTTTATTGCCCTTCACATAGTCATAGATGTACATCACTAGCTTTCGTAATGGGCTTAACAAGACGCATAATGAAAGGCACTAGTTAACGTACACGTATCCCAAGTCTTTGCGCAACGTTGTGATACCTGTATATTCCTACAAAAACAATTCCAGTGAATTTAACATAACCGAAACACAACGAAGAGGCTGCATGGTTTATAATAAGTACTTTATAAGAGACAAAACATCCACCAAGGACCAGATTGAGATTATTTGTAATACCGTTGCATATGTGTTCCCAACCTTCAAAGTATAAACAAACAAAATCCTCGTAAACGTGTACTAAAATACATGCGAAGACTGTAAGAGCCGTTAATGATTCAAAGTTTTAAGCTAAAAGTAAAATAAAATCCATTGAAATGGCAATTCCGAACCATTTGCAAGTTGAATTCAATAAAGAGAGAAAGATTAAACAAACAAAAACGGTGACAGTTTCATCAAAATCGGAAAAAATAAAACATATTATAAACTTCATATTCCTAGAAAAGACATGTGATATTTTGTGTTAAAATTATGTACAAAACAGATAGATAAGAGTGAGGGGATAACATCACCAACACGCTTATTAATAGCCTGTATGATACATATCAACGTTTCATGAAATTCACTTTTTGAATTTTTATTTTTATTTTCATCCGATTTGGATGAAACGTTCGTTTATTAACTTTTCTCCATTTTCTCAATTTAACTTGCAAATGGGCCTAACTTGCACGTTTACTACCTGGTCTGCAATCAAGGTTTGCCAGTTGTATCCAATTCCCAGACGTTCCGTTGCATTGCCATACAACAGATTCCGTTTTGTCGTCGCACTGTATAGTGATGAAATCACCTCCTCTGTAGTCGCTTTGAGCCATTACAACTTGACTGGAGGGGTGATTAGGCAGGAGGCAAATTACCTCTGAAAAGGAAAGTAGAAAAATGAAGCAACGCTAGGTTTATATCATACCATTGGTCCATTGGCCTAAACTGGAATCAGAGAATTAATATGTAAGTAAATATGTGGCTTATTGATGAAATGAATCAGAGGAGATATGAGAGCATCTGGTCTTATCCAAGCCGATGCTTGAGATCAGAAGGCATAGAAAAGGGCCATAAGGGAAAAACGGGAGCTCTAGCTGATGATGATGATGATGGAGTTGTAAAGTATTTTAGAACTTGTACCTTTTTAAGGGCAATCCAATCTTTGACTATGAGCTCATTTCTATAAAAGCATAACAGTAACAGAAACAGAATGGCGAAATATTAGAATAAATCGGACCAATAATGAATATTATACAAATACCGCTCGTCCCAGAGTGCAATAGCGGTGAATGCAGTACGCGCGAGGTTTCTTTAGATTGGTGCCGCTCTGTGCAACGAGCCGCTTGCGGCGAGTTGACAGTGCGAACCATCTGAAGAAACCGAGCGTACACTGCATTTACGTTTCGCACAATTGGTCAAGTGCGTTATTTGTTTTATAAAATAGCGACACAAATAGCAACAAACGAAACTTTAGATCTTAAGTTAGAGTCTACGAGAGTTCGATCTAGATCTAACTTTAGAGTTAGGTTAGTTCTAGACTAAGAACTTGCAGGCTTACCAAAAAGTCAATGGGATTCATTGCCTTGATTAAAAATAAAATCCACAGAGGTCTACAGTGGGTCTAGAGACGAATCTACATCAGACAGCTGAAATTCCTGGCTTCGTTATAAAATCCAAAAGTCAAAACAGGCCTAAATCCAAGGCAAAAGTAAAATAAAAATTTGCTTTTTATGTCTAAGTTGATAAGTCCATGCTAGAGCTAAGCTACGCGTACGTTGCGCTGGGGATTATGGTGGAGCGTACAATATTAGCTACGCGTAGCTAGCCTACAATAATTGCAATGCACTCTAGGGAGCGCGTACTACACGTACGCGCGCGCACTGGATCTCCATGGTCACGTGCAATATAACTTTTTGTTGCGCTTTTTCTGCGCAACAAAAAGAATATATATCAGGCACCTTGGTTAAAAAAAATCAAGCTGACTCTGGACAATATGGGGATGTCTAATTTATGGGAAATTTGTGAAAATACTAGCTATGAGTGGGTCAAACAAACTGTGGAACGTCGATTGAGAGATTCTCATGCTCAGTATTGGTCTGCTTGTATGTATGATAATTCGCATTGTGTTAACTATCGAATCTTCAAACATTCTTTATGTTTAGAAAGATACTTAATCGATCTCATTAAAAGAGATCGGACAATATTAAGTCGTTTTCGCTGTGGCAATCATTACCTGCCGATTGTAGCTGGTAGATATTCAAATACTCCAAGGGAAATGAGGCTATGTACGCTGTGCAATTTGCAATCGCTTGGGGATGAGTTTCATTACTTGTTTGTATGCCCTACCTTTCGTTCAGAAAGAAAATTGTTCATCGATAAATATTTCATTGAAAGACCAAATACACTGAAAATGGATCAGCTTTTTAACTCCAATAATGTACAAACACGTTTAAACTTAGTAAAATTCTGTCGAAAAATAATGCTTCGTTTTCATTAATTTAAGTATGTGCAAAAACATGTTATGAGTTCAATATTAACTTTATGTTTCTCTTTTTTGTCTTATATCAATTTATTAAATTGATATCAAGAATATTTTCAGTAATTCATTATTTCAGATATCAATTTACTGGTGCCAGTAAATTTCTTTTTCAATTGCTTCCATTAATTTCGTCATTAATTATCGTTTTAATTAATATTATCGTTTTGTTTTTGATTATTATTATTATTATCATCATCAATATTGTTATCATTATCATCATAATTTTTCTCACTATTGTCGATAGTGTTATTTTGTATGGATTAACATTAATTCTATTTGTATTGTATATTTCACAGTGTTTAATTGACAAATTCAAACTGATTGTAAACTTCTCCAATACCCCAATGTGGGTGACATGAGAATAAATTGTCATTGTCATTGTCATTGTCATTGCACTCATTTCTGCAAAATCGTGCTTGCATCAAAATTTTGTCAATGTTATGTGACGCGTATTGACCAATCACGATGCTTAAAATACTAGAGCCATTTTATAAAAATATATACATTTTAATATAATTAATTTCTGTTTTGCTCCTAATCGCCTTCACCCTCGGGGTACTATTCAAAATACATTATGGATATCATATTATTACGTCATTTAGAAAGAAAAGATCTTCACGATAAATTGGCATTGTAGTAAATTTGCGTGTTGAAACAAATGGGAGAGTTGTCCGCAACTACATCGTAGTGACAATACCGAATAGGTCAACTTGAAATTCCCTTACGTTTAATGATTGCAATTTTTCAAATATTTACAACTTTCTAATTGTAAGTCCGATTGCGTTCAAAATGTCACCAAACTACTTCTCTAATTTGTGCTACTTTCGTTCAGAGCAATTGGCCCTTAAGGTTAGATTTTCCATTAAAGAAAGTGCTTGAGAAATTGATGGTCGCTCACCTTTTTCACAATGTTGCCCCATATATCCATAATGGCAAATACATCTGTAATCTATGTCTCCGGGCGACGTAACACACATCCCATTTGAACATGGTTTAGTAAGGCAAATTTCACCTATTGGAAGAAAAAACATCAATCATTGGCTAAATTTACAACTCAAAAACAGTTTGTTCACTGCTTTGCAACTGCTAATGTTCTGTCCTTGTGTTCGTGATATGCCAGTGGGCTATATCAAAATTATGAAAACAACGCCCCCCCCCCCCCCCATCTCAGCTGTCTTGAGAAGACCTTGCAACCGAAGCTTGAACAAATCACATAACGCCTCTTACTAAGCATCCACACTATGAATAAATATCATCCACCTGAAGTACAACCACAATTCAGAATCAAACTCACCGAAAGCAACAATGGATTCCACGTTGAGACTGACAGAACCATCCGCAGTTTGCCAAATGCCAGGCTGTTGAAGTCCCAGGGACGTCTCTACTGCTGCTGCTTGGTCTTTCAGCTTAGCCCTATCGGAGTCGAAGACCATGACTTCAAAATCAACAACGACGCTGCCCGACGAGAATCCAGTAATTACAACATCCCACTCATTGTTTTGTGTGTTCACGATGTTCATCAAAACATCGTGGAGCTGACATAAAAGATTAAATGTAATATCAATATCAAGAACGGTTTAAGCTTGATTTTCGAAAATGTTCTATCAAGACTTTATTACCGATCATAATATATTCTGCTGTTCCTAAAGCTTATAAAGATATAAAACACGGCCCTTGTTCTATTTATTCCTATTTTGACTACAATTACAATGAGAAATGGTTATTTGACATTATTTTATTAAATCATAGTAATCACATGATATACAGGTGTATGCTCCACTCTAAAAACTGTTGAACTTACGATTTTGTTACAAAGGTTTTCCAGATTGCGGTAAGCTTCTGACTTCTGATCATTAAGAGAGTCCGTGAAAATAACCTCCTGATCGTTAAGCCGGGTAAATTTGACGGAGCCACCAATAGCCCTAGAAGCTGATAAACATGATGAAAATACACGGAGGTGTATCAGGAGTCTAACAACCTTTCTCATTTTGAAACTCCGTTTGTTTAATATATGAATGTACAAAATATCAGTGTGTACAAAAATGATGTTTAACTGTCTAGGAATTTACCAATTCATTAAAGCACGCCTTCTTACGTATCTTCCATGTGGCTCTGGTAGCATCGGAGTCAATATAAAAGGATAAAAGTTCTTCCCTTTGACTAGTATACGGTCTAATTGTATTTACATCTGAATGAAACTAACATGAACAAGCGAACTAGATATTACAGAGCCATTATGCTCTGAATAGAGTTATCCACCTTTTTTTGTAATTCTTGCTATGCATATTGATTACATTTATGTACATGTACAGTATGTGTTGTTTTACGAAGTACACAACCAATCAGACCCAATAAGCGATAGGATGACCGTAGCTTTTGAGGCATTAAATCTACAACTCCTTTACATAGCATATTCCGGAGTATGAAGTTGTAGGCAAATATCATATTTTCAACAATTTAAGCTACGAATCAATGTGATACAAGCCAGTCAGTCAGTCAGTCAGTCAGTCAGTTTGTTTTCATGATTTAATCGGAATATAGTAACGGACCGAGCATAGATCCCTGTGTTGTACCAATCATCACAATGTGAATGAAATAGATCGCGAGACTAGACAAGACATGTATTAAAGATCGATGGCATTGTGTAAATGCAGCTGAAATGTGCTAGCCGCCATATTTATTTATTCATGATTTACTATGTACTACTTCGTTTTCTATGGAAATGAAAGCGAAGCAACAATCAAACTAAGCTATTTTCCTCATTTAAAATAATTGTTCTAGCTTCTTTAACAGTGCAAGTTTATCTTCTCACTTCTGACATGTTAGATATTGAATTACCCATGCAGACGTCATTCCTTCTTTCAAGGCCCCCAGAGCAATTACAATAATAACCAACTTGTGTCAAGTCCGTGTTTGTGCATTCCTCGTTCACGCCACATGGATCATCATAAAAGCATCGATCAATTGCTGTTGAAAAGACAAGAACAAAAAATATAATCAGACATTAGTTTTCAAACATAATATTGTTATTTCTTCATACTGCTGTCCAAAAAAAACATCATATCATCATGCTTGTAAAATATATCAAGTATGTCTGATTTTTTTATAACCGGGAGTATTACAATGGCAATTGCACTTATTTGGTAATCAGTTGCCTCACTCTGCGATACTTTAAATTGTATGCTTCCCCGGTGCGAAAGCACATATATTGCTCGAGGTTTCGAACATTATCATGAATTTGCTCTTTGAGTCGGTTACGAAGTACATGGTTCCGTGTTTTATCATCCATCACACAAGTATTTAATATTTGACTCTAATTTAATTGTGGTACATTCAATATATATTGATACCGTTGTTACAAAGAAGAATATATTTAAGAGAAATATTTAAGAGAAGATCACATAAATATATTTGACAAGTAGGCAAACAAATTAAAAGGAGAATCAGAATAAAAAAATATAGTCGTATGGTTACCTGTAGAGCAGGTACTGTCGGTATAACCAGCAACACAATCACAGGTAAAGGAGTTTATCCCATCTGTACAAGTTCCTCCATTCATGCAAGGATCTGGATCACAGTCGTTGATATCTGCGATAAGAGGTCGGATAACCATGACAAATCGTAACAAAACTGCTAAAATGAATCCTAGTCATAATGATTCTGTATTTATATAGCGCATAATGCATCTTAGATGTCAAAAAGGGTTTATAAATACTATTACGCTCGTCGTCGGACTTAGGCTTGTCCAAAATTTATGTACCTTCTCCACAACCCGGGTTGGACTCCGGCCAGACATCCTACCGGGTACCCGTTTAGTCATGGGTGGAGAGTAGTAATAATGATAGTAGGTCTTGGTTTAGGACAAAAGTATATAGACCTTCGCATTATCATGATTTCAGTGAAAAATGTATACCGATATGCTAACCAAGATATTATTTTAACAATTATGATTTCTATAGTTTTAACAAAAAATATAATTGTTTCTACTATGAAAAAGGAGAAGCAAAATATAGGCTAATACTATAAATTCAATTGTAGTAATTCCAGAACCAAGGTTTTTTGATAGAATAAATGCATCATACAATATAATGGTTTTTGTTGGTAAAACAATTTGAGACTTCTCTACAGTTAATATATTAAATTGATTCGTTAGAAGAAGAAACAATTCAAAAATCAGTTTGAAGATATAATTATTATAAGTTACTTTCTGAGCAGATACTGTTAGTATAACCGGCAACACAATCGCAAGTAAAGGAGTTTATTCCATCTGTACATGTTCCTCCATTCATGCAACGAACTGGACCACAATCGTCGATATCTGTAAGTTAAGGCAGAACAACAGATTAAACTATAGTACAACACTAACCAAAGTGGTAAAAAGAACAATTATCGTAGATGATGTATTAATATCATTCCCCAGTTGATATTTCAACCCTGGTGCTTTTTATCTTCCTCAAAAATAACTGTTAAAATGAAAGCATACTCATTGAAAATTAAAATCAAGACTTTACTAATTACAAAAAAAACTACAAATGCTCTCTTTTCGTGGATTAATTGTACTAAAAAAACTTGGATTCTGGCAAAAGAACGTCTTATAATCTCAATTATCTTTGTTTACTTCATAATAAAACCTTGACATATCCTTCCAGGAAATTAATAATTAGCTAAAATAAATGCGCAATAAACTGTAAGGCTTGACGTTGAAGATTATACAACAGACTAAAATGATTTCCAAAGCATTTCATCAATGTCATAAAAAGACGAAAGAATTAAACTTTCAGAAATTAGCACAATGATTGAGTAACTTGTTGAGCAAGTACTATCTTGGTAGCTGTAATTTAAAGCAGGGTAATTACAGACTTGACGAAAACCGAAAAGTTAAAAAGGGGGAAACAGATAAGTATTGCCAAATTTAAATGGTTTCCAGGTAAGCACTTATTCATTTGAAGTAATTGTTCTAATCAGGGGTTCTAGTACACGGGTGCAAATCAAATATGTTAGAAGCCAACTCGTTTGTGGGTGGAAATCAATGATCACTTTATTGCAATCCACTCTCCAAAGATTAAATCAAATCACGCTTCCTTAGAGTAGATTTCTCTAAACCTGTGTAATTTGATGTGGATTAAACGCCATCGAAATGAGTTATAATATGTTTTTTAAGGCATAATGATGGTTTTTCTTTTAAATCTCTGAAATTGTGTATGCTTTAATCAACGCCAAGTTCAATTGTTTTTAAATACAATTAGCTACAACAAATGTGTATTTCATTGGAATTAATTTTGATGACAGAGGAACACACCTAATATTCTGTAGTGAATCAAGAATATTCACATTCATTTTTTTCTAAGACAAGATAATTTCAATTGGAAATTAAAATCTTGGAAATATTGAAATAGTTACTTTCTGAGCAGGTACTGTCAGTAAAACCAGTGACACAATTGCAAGTAAAGGAGTTTATTCCATCCGAACAAGTTCCTCCATTCATGCAAGGATCTGTATCACACTCGTTGATATCTGTAACAGGAGGTCGGATAACCATGACAGAAATTGTAACAAAAATATTAATTTGAATCTTAGTAATAATGATACTGAATTTATATAGCTCGTCATACATCTTAGATGTTTGCAATATTAATACGCCAGTCATTGTTCTTAGGATTGTCTTTCCCATTATCATGATCATAGTGAAAATACAAGGCAATGACGATATTCGTCATTGGAATTATATTGAAATACTTACCAACATATAATTTAACAGTTATGCATTCTTTAGTTTTAACAAAAAATATAACTGGTTTTACTATGAAAAATTAGAAGCCAAATAAAGACTAATACTTTAAACCCGATTGTTTTATTACGGAACCAATGTATTTTACTATAAAAAAGGGTCATACAATCTAACCGGGGATTTTGTTTAAACATTGTAAGACATATTTGTAGTTAATATATTAAATCGATTTGTTAAAAGAATTAATAATTTGAAATCAGTTTGCAGATATAAATATTATTACTTACTTTCTGAGCAGATATTGTTAGTATAACCGGCAACACAATCGCAAGTAAAGGAGTTTATTCCATCGGTACATGTTCCTCCATTCATGCAAAGATCTGGAACACAATCGTCGATGTCTGTAATTTAAGGCGGAGCGATGGATTAAACAATAGTACAACACTAACCAAAGTAGTAACGAGAACAATTATGGTAGATATTGTATTAGTTTCCTGATTTATATTTCAACCTTCGTGCATTTTGTCCTCCAAACGAATAACTGTTAAAATAAAAATGTAATAATTAAAAAATAAAGATTTGTACTAATTACAAAAAGAACTACAAATGCTTTCATGGCGTGGTTTCATTGTGATAAAGAACAGGTTGGATTCTGGCTAAAAACCTTCATGGACAATTATCTTTGCTTATTACATAATAAACATTTCCCATTACAATTCTTTACATTGAAGATGATACAACAGACTATAATGATTTTTAAAAGAATTTGCCTATTTCTTTAAAGACTGAATAAATACAATATAGGGTATTAGTCTTTTAAAGAGGTAACTAATACACAATACTAAATTGTATTAGAAGAAATTTCATATTAAAAAGTAGTTCACTAGTCATCTTAAAGGATTAATTTTCAACTAAACATTAGTTCATTTATGCCCAGACTCTCACCGCCTCTCCATATCTAAGAGTGGGAACACCACATTAAACGCCTTAAACATTTCGAAAGTGTTTTTTTGTTGGTATAATTGGTACTCCGTGTCTTTTCCTGTATATCTTATTTTGCACTGTAAATCCAGGATTCGTTCATAATTTGTTTCTATTTAGCACGTAATAAAACAAATATTGCATCCCTAGTACCATTTACAAAGCAAAGAAAAATTATTCTCCCCTAATATGCCTAAAATTTTGGTAACTGCCCTAAATGTAGGAATTTTTTCCCTCTACATTATGCTTTAAAGAGTTAATAACATCATGCTTTGTATCGAGCGCTTTAAATTCGTAATTTGTTGTAGTTTTTACTCAGGCGCGGAGGGGCAATTTAAAATTGTAATTGTGAAATAAGATTTGAAAAAAAAAAAAAAAAAAACGCCGGCCAAAAGGGAGAGAGAGAGATATAAAATAGGTAAGAGGACGTAGGAAGAAAACGGAGCAGACAAAGAAACACGACAAAGACTGTGTTAAAAATGTTATGAAAGAAACAACATAATTGCATCATATATTACCCATTATTTAAAATTGTAATTGTGAAATAAGATTTGAATTCTATAGCCATCAGCCCAGCCCAGCGCAGTTCGCATTTCGTCCAGCTCGACATATTCCTACACAATAATATGACTATCGAGCTCTACGGATATTGTTTTGTTAGCCACAGAGGTCCAGATGGATTCTACTTTGAGCAGGGAGGTGATGTGTAGGGATTGCTAGCCATTATGAAGATACAACCCCGCTCTCATAACAGATATAAACAAGAAATAAGTCATAATATTGTGGCAAATATTGACTAACATATTTCCTGCAAGCAATTATGGGAATCCTATGATGAAATGCTAATTATTTGGTGATTAGTTGATTTTAACGTCAATATATTTATCACATGCAGGATGCTCATTTCTGAAGATGTCGTTAAAAAAATAATCGAAATCTTGTATCACTGACGTACTGATGCTTGCCCCCCAAATAAAATTCAAACGTGGCTTATTTCTAACTTGATACCAGTGATTAATGTTGTTGAAATGACATGATTTTTCGAGTTTTTTTCTCACTTTTTTGTTATAAAAAATTATTATACTTTTTGTCTGCAGGCATGTAACATGTACGAGTCGGTTAGTGAGGTGAATTTTGTTTCTGCCCCCCCCCCCCACGTTTTTGTTCATTACGCCACAGCATAACAATGAATGCAATATATTTGGAAAATTAAAGACAAGGATTAAAAGTCGAGTACGAATCATCTTCTTTCTCTCATAATTTAATGAATCGTCAAAGCTTCCGCGCTTCGCGACTCCCCCTCCTGCACCAACTCCCTCTTTAAGTTATTCGTCCCCCCTAAAACCAAACCCTAGCTTCGCCCTTGTTTTTACTCGCTTTGTTGACGCCCCTTACATATGATGTAACGCAAGTAAAATCGTCTCTCTGAATGGCTCGTCATCAATAGTTTACTATCATACTTTCCTTACTTAAATCACAGTGTTTTCCGTTATATCCTTCGTCACAAATACACCGAAAGGTAGCGTCCGGTTGACGTTGGTTAATAACGCATGTCCCAGTAGATGCACAAAAGTTACCTCCTGGACAAGATGTATCTGCGAATAGGAACATAAAACTTTAGTAAACTTTAACAATTTTAGATTCTTCTTCTTCTTCTCGAGTCACTTCACAAGCCTGGCCTTAACGCTTAAACCGCATAGGTCTTCTGGTGTACAGGGTTCTGGGAGGGGGGGGGGGGGGGGGGGGGAGACAGACGAAAACGATGTTTCATCGTCTGTACCTCCCCAGAGTTGCACTTAGTTTCCCCATCTTTACTAAAGCCCCATGTATGCATGATGACTTTGCATCATACCGCTTTAGTCCGCAGGCGACATAAACAGGACAAGGTGGGCCATGCTTCACTTGAAACCGATGGCAAAGATTTGCTTGGTCCAAAGGACAGCTTGTGCAGCACTGACTTAAGATGATAGGTCTACAGGGGCATCCTTCGGAGTCCTCAGTGGCTTTAGTAGAATGGCGAAAAGTGTGTCTTAATTTGCGTCCCTTTTTTGTATGTCTATGATCATAAAGGGGGTGAAGGAGGGTTGTCATCTTGCTTAGTTTTCTCTTACTCTGATGGAACCTCTCGTCTGATATGTGATGGGGCAATACCACATAGCAAGTACAGATCATCTACTCTTGTTGGTTTTAGGCAGCCCGAACCAGCTCTGCTCGCACCATTCAAGACTGGGTCAATTTTATTAAACAGTTTTAAAATTATTAAATGAAAATATCACTATAAGGCCTTCTATCTCCTTCGATTGTTTGATAGATCAAAAGTGCATTGATTGGTCAAAAATATAGGTCACCCCTTTGTTGCTTTTCAATTTTAGAAGTAAAAATAATTTTGAGGGCTTCTTAAACTTAAAAAATGGTCGTATGTAAAAGACAATGTGCATGAAATATTATATTCCACAGTTTTGGAATCTTGAATTAAAAGTGGACATAGGGTTACTTTTTGACAAATTCTGTCTTCACACAAAGATCGTGCAGGTTGTATTATACATCGTTAAAAATCACATTTTTAAAAACTTGTCCAAAAATTAAGAATATTGTTACTTTGCAAGTTAAAGAAAGTATAAATTCCGTACTTTAGTAGAAAGATTTATCAAATAGTTTTTGGATCACAGGAACAATCCAGGAAAAGACGATTTGCAAGAAAGAAAATCCTAAAGATTGGATTAGTTTATCTATGCAAACCATTTTCATAAAGGTGGGCATTTTTCGTCAATTAAAAGGGTAAAAATGGGCCACAGAGGGCGTCCTTTGGGAGGGTTGTCCAGGGGTTTCATGGCTGTATTTGTAAGTGGTTCATAGGACTCTGAAATATCAGTCCAATTTTCCGCTGCCTCCTACTCTCTGACAGAAGCTCTTGAAATGTTTAAATGTTTCATTCATGGAAACCTCCTTGTTGTGACGTAATTAACTTTGTTTAATTTAATTTTTTATTGGTGGTAGATTGTATCGTTTGTTTTGTAATCATTTAATTATCATGAATTTGCAGTGAAGCACTTAAATGGTCCCACCAGAGCTCTCAGTTAGAATATGCGGTTTATTACATTTCGTACAAACTTTGCTTACGCTACTGTTCACATTTTGCAACTTGCATTAACAAATATATATATATATATGACCCTATGAGTTATCATTATGCCTCTCAGAAAATTGTAGATGTCCCCCTCACGCTTGAAGAGGAATTTTACCCGATCCGCACATATCATCTATCAAAGAATGAACAGTAAGAAATGTTTTTCCCATTAATTTCCGGCTTTTGTTAGGAAAGCAATATTTATTTAAGTGTTGGATTACAAAAAACATGCCCGACGTTCATCACTGTTTTGTACATTTTAGTGTTAAATATTTTCATACCTCATGCCTAGGTCACATTTGCTTTACGGATAGGATACCTGCGGCCGTACGCCCATAAATCGAGAGATACTTGCGATGGCCGCAGAGAATCTGAGGTGGCCTCAGGGTCACCCTAAAGCTATGGTGACAAATCAGAGCAGCGACCGACCGATAAGTAGCCTGCTCGGTCGCTGCTGGAATTTAGGCATCGCCCAGCGATTTTTGGAGAAGTCGAGCAGGCTGTAGAGCCCCAGCAATGCCTGGGCTGTGACCTGTCATTTTCCCGTCGGTCGCCGGATTTTAGGTCAAAACTGGGCGAAATCGCGGAGCTTTTTCGCGCGGTGTCCCGGCAGTGACCGACCGGTGACCCTCCAATTGCCCTCCGATGCCTGGCCGTTCGCCGCCCGGGCACCAAAGTAATCGAGCGTTCGCCGCCGAGCGATTTAGGTCAAAAATCGAAGCCGCTAGATCAAAGGCTGCCGACCGATTTTGGACTCGCCGCCCAGTGACCGACTGATCGCCCAGCGGCGACCGGGCGGCGACCGAAAGTGAAAGTGAGCAGGCGCCGCTCGAATTTTAACTCCGCGCTAAAAATTCAGCAGCGACCGAGCGATGCCTTAAAAACGAGCGGTGCCTGGGCAGCCGCCGCTCGGTGGCCGGGCAAAATTGGCTAAAAACTCGCCGCTCGGCCGCTTTTGGGTAATGTGACCATAGCATAAGGCGTATCCCTATCGTTACAGGCCGTACGGGTCGCCGTAGGATTATAACGCGGAGTCATAACTGTTTTCTTTTCTAGTTTCGCTAGCGATTAGACACGCCGTAAGCCATGTCGTAGAGCGGTTCCACGGCGACCGTACCTCGAGCATACGGTGACCTAGCGTTTTTATATACTCCAGGGATGAATCGGTAGGATCAGTCTAGTCGAACGGACGCCATATGGTCCCCCTTCCGCCGCCTTGCGGGTACCTTGCTTCTACATTGCGGCTACCTTACGTTTGCCTATGTATTTGTCAATTACCTACGGCCGCCGCAGGGACGCACTAGGCGACCGTGCGTCATCACTTTAAAGGACGTACAGCAGCTGCCGATTTTATGTCTCCACAAATTCAAAATACTCCGTGCGGCTACCCTAACATAACGTGACCGATACCGTATGTGACCGTGGGAATGCTGCGGCGGCCCTATAATTGCTATTAGCCGTAGATATTTTAGACCGCACGGCTGCCGCGGCAAATGTGACCTAGGCATGAAAGACGCAATAAAATAGATAGGCACAATGAAAAATGGAGCGTAATTTTAGGAGAAAATATTGTTTAAGCAGTTTATAAGATGATAGAACGCTCACTAAAATCCCTTTTTTTTTCGGGGGGGGGGGACGATCGCTGATGTTTTCTATTTTATATATGTACTGTAGATCCACTTGATTTTTTATTTGATCTATTGTTGTTACATGGATATAAATGTATGCATATTTTTCTTATGGTTATGTTGAATGTACACATATAATTGGATCAATAAAAACTTATCGAATGTAAAAAAAAAACACGCAACAACAACAAAAATCGTACCGAATCGTTGTATAATAGTATGGTGAAAAATTGCCCTCTCGACCATCAACTTAATACTAAACGGCATCATGATTACCTGCGTAAATGTGAATCTCTGCTGGGATAGGCAACTTCATGCTTGCAAGAGCTACGTTTCCGGCCGGAAAATCGATGACGTAGACTCCGTCAAACCGGATGTCAGAAAAATAGATATCCTCGAAATACCTAGCGATCCCAAACGGGTGAATATCGTGCACATACGTTGAATTTCCAATGGTAGTTGAAAAGCGCTGCCTATCATCTAGATTCAGAACTTCAATTGTGTTCTCCGTTGTATCGGTCCAGTAGAGTAATTGTTCTGATGAAAGAATAAAGGAAGAAGGACAACAACTTTTCCAGGTTTTCAGTATGTAGAATTCATTATTCAGGTATACGATGTTGCCTATTCATTGTCCCGTGGTTTCTACACACGTCCTATTAGTAACGATGATATTTTGAAGATTTCTGGAAGTAATGTATCTATCCCTCAGAGAATTATGTATACCCAATGCAAATGTACGTGACCAACTGATCATATAGGATACACTGATTTTAAACAAGAAGATTGTGTACAGGTTTTGAGGTATCAGTTTCAATCACACACAAAGTATGTTCTCTCTCTTTCTCTCCGTGTTTAGGTATCTCCTCCATAGATGTATAAAGTCTTACTTAGAGAAGTTTAAACAAACCATGCTCCGGTGACCAGATATGGCAAGTGCTTTATGGTCAATTTCCTACACTAATCATTTTCTTAATTTAAATCGCGGATCCAATAGTATACCTGAATCTAACACTGGCCCTTAGCCCAAACCTAAACCCAACCCTAAAACCAAACTAAAAAAAATAATCCTAAATCAAATCCTATCCTAAAGCCCGATGGCAATTATAATCATGCTAACCCTATATCTTTATTGAATTAAGCCCGCATCAATTGTAGCCGGATAATCGTGACCAATCATTAGCTCCTGCAACAGTTATGGTTAAGTTTAGTGTTGAGTCCAGAGTACAGGAGCAAATTTTGTAAAACCCGCAGAATATGTCTGGTCATCCTACATTTTAGTACAGTATAATTCTTTCAAAATTTGTACCGGTAGGACCAAGGCATATCCCAGTCGGATCCGTGAAATTAGAATCCACATCCCCATCAAGAAGCGTCACTCGTTCCGTCCCGTCCGCATTAGCCATTTCAATTTTCGGGTACTGTCCTTTATCGGTCCAGAAGATTTTCCTAAATCGGGAACATGTTTAAACGGAGGAGAATATGATCGAGTTATAATTGTTTTAAATAGAAGGCCACATATCCAAACTAAGCCTATCTAATATACAGATTAATGGGATAGTACCCTTTCTTGCACTTATAAAGCGCTCCAGTATTGTCCCCACAACGTACTATAATAATATTTTAACACTATGGCAAAGATTATGAAGAAGGAAAAAAAAATCAAATTTTGTTGTTTAGGCAGAGAGCCAGTGCCAGTACGTTTAATAAAATTATGAAACTTATGGAAATGCAAGAATTACTTTAGACAAACAGAACTTTCTTATTCCTGGCTCATTTTTCCTGATTGAGGTGTCATATGAAAGGGCAAGAAATGAACTTTCTAGAAATGTGATTTCCCTTCGAAATTCAGGTACTGTTCGCCAAATGACTTTTTGGTACCCTTTTTCCAAATTGTTTTCAATCACTCATGCGTGAAATATGCATCATATGAGTTGCATCAAATGAAAGAGTAGGATCTAAGCTGGACAAATATGTGTCATTTATTAATTATAATTGTGATGAAGTTATGATAATAAATCAATAATTTTCGGTTTCGTTTTTTTTCCGGGACGCACTGTACAATAGCGTTGATGAATATGGTGATTCTGATGATGGTTAAAATGACGATTGGGATGATAGTGATGATGAATAAAGTTTGCGGCTTCCAGTACATACATTTCAATACCACTTGTCTATGAACTTGTGATTATCCTAATTGTGTCAGAGGACAAACTTAAATTGAAAATGAAATTTGAAGGCATTAAATCATTTCAAGGAGTGTATACTGTTCGCTCAGACATTAAATTTCATTCAAAAATTAAATGTGTACATGTGTACGTATATTTGAATAATAGAACTGAAGATTATGATTTTGGAAGGGGGGACTCTAGCGAGCTGATCTGTACATTAACGCGAGATTGAAAATTTCGATCGATAAAAGTCGAAAATAGTTCTATATAAACGGAATTCTCTGGAGAGATATCACTTATGACATTCTGACTTTTTACAATACCTTCGAAAAGATGAGTAGACGATTGCATTTGGATAAGAATTAAAGCCTGATGTGAGTAGATCCGTCTTACTGGTCCCATCAAGGTTTGCCATCCCAATAACGTCACGATATTGGTCCGCCCAGTACACCTTGTCATCGTCGAGATTCAGGGCTATTCCATAAGGATCTGAAAAGGTCAAAATCAACCTGACCTAAATTTCTGTTTTATTTAACATAATTACAATGCCCGTCGCACATGAAGCGTCATTAGGGACTTTTAGATTTGCGTGGTCTCGTTGCGTGTTCGCTCGCTTTAGCTCGTCTGTTGTTCGTACTGATGCGTGCCAGCTCGCGCTACAGCGTACCAGCTCGCTCGGGCTGCGGCATATGTATAGATACTAGTTATTTTGCAGGACTGGGCATAAACATCTTAGCTTCTGAAGATTCTACATCTACAAGAAAAATAAATCTGATGACAACAATGGCCTTGCAGCAGAGCTCTGCTTCGCAAAAGCTTAAGCTTTTTGTTCAGTTGGAGGAAGAAGAGGCGAATAAAGATTATGAGCAAGGGAAGCTGCTGCTTTAGCTGCATCAACGAAGTATCCCCGGAGTTGTTGGGTGCGGTCCTGGATCTGCCGGAGGAAGGACCAGGGACAATTTGACCAACTGATGAGGGAGCTGGAAGACGAGGACCAAAAGGCACTTACTAACTTTTTGAGAGTAACCCTAAAATGTTTAAAGAGTTAGAGCAGAGACTACATGAAAGACTGGAGAAGCAGGACACCTTCTACAGGCATGTGTATGCCTGCACAACTTGATGAGAACCCACTACCCTTGCATTTAGAATTCAGCCATGGACGGGGAGGACGCCGTGTATACATAATGCCCGGTTCCTGGCGAGGAGAACAGACCCTATAGCCAGTCTTAGGCAGCCGGCTAGAGGTCGCTCGGCTACTCAGGCAGGTCATGACAGGTCCAAAGGAATTATATAAATGCCTACTACAACAGCCCTGCTAGTTCTGTTCCCTGGCAGGAGTCAAAAATTTAAATGTTGGAGTCATGCAGGCCTCGGCATTGACGACATTACCTGACCTTCAGCAACCGTTTCCTCACAGTTTAATTTGCCAGTTATCACAGTTCTCGCGAAGAATGTAAATCTCAGTTAAAACATTATTCCTAAGAGTTCAACAAAAAGACTGTTGCAATGACTGGACCAATGACTGGCTTTCTGCATCTTCTTGTGTATCTTCTTCAAATTTTGACTGCGGTATGATTCCAACCCGTGAGGCGCCCCGCCCCGATATACAGCGCATAGGCAACTAATCGCAGTGATAGCGAGCTAAAGCGAGCGGCAACCAGCGACTTCGAGCTAAAGCGAGCGGCGTACGAGCTAGACACGCAGCGCAGCGAGCGGCAATCGCAAGGGTTCTTGCTGCTGCGAGCGGTGTGCGAGCAACAGCGCAACAATACGCGCAATCATGCGTACGACAACGAGCTAAAGCGAGGTAAATCGTGCAGGAAACGTAGCTATTGGCAGTGACACGTGCTCCGAAAAAAGAGGTGCGTTTGATTGCGTATACCTGCGCTAAGCCACTCGCTGTCGCTCGCATTCACTGGTTGCCACTCGTATCCGCTCGTATGTGATTTGACCTTGCGTTTGCTTGCGATAGTTTAGAAAAATTTAAATTTAATACAAGCGAGCGAGCAACGCAGGCATTTGCGCTAGTCTGCGTATTGAGTGCGTAGTGAACACGTTTTATTGCGCTTTATTGGGAATGACTGCCTTTGTCTGCGTTCGGGTAATACGCAGCAATACGCAAGCCAAATACGCAAAGGTGTGACTGAGGCATTAAAGGCAGTGCATTAAAAGTACATCGATCGTAGCAATCCACGTTTTCTCGTGCAATTCTAAAAGTCCCTATTTTGCTGATGTAATACAACGCCAGTGAAGGCGCAGTTCTAGAAACGTGCCTCGCTTAAAACTACTTTAATTACAATGAAAATTTGATATTATTGTATTATGTATTCTTCTTGTATTATGTTTATATGTACAAAGACTGTAAACCAGTGAAAAAAGAATTTCCCGTAATGGATAATACATTTCAAATTTCAATTCAATATGGACACGTTGTTTCACGGGAGTCACTTGGGAAACCTTTGAAAAATTATAATACAACAAAAAAATATGCACCTTCTCTGTACTTTTGCCGGAAAAACATAGTAATCCAGCACTGTGTCGTCTCTTTTTGCGTTGGAGAATTAAGAGCAAAATAGCGAGTTTCAATCGCACCTCGGCCGCTCTCGCAAGTCCACACTTGTTCCATTGTGGTCAGGAGGCTTTGGGGTGAGCGGCTAATGAATATACTACGGCCGTGATCTGGCAAAACAACGTATGTCTGTTTCGGTACTTCCGAGATATCAAAGATTTTGAATTTTACAGTTAAAAGTGTTTTCATTTCTCTCAAGTTGAATAATTTTGTTTAATATATTGTCTACATGTACCGGATAATATTCTTTTACTATGTAGGGTAAAATTGTTCAATAAAACACTTTCTTTTTCAATCTATCAATGATTTTGTAGAGATACGTTGTTTTGCCAGAACACGACTTACCCTGCATCTCGTGCGTAATTTGGCAAAACAACGTATGTCGATATGGACGCTCCGCGCCGCTGCGCTGTGATCTGGCAAAACAGCGTATGTCGATATACGTTGTTTTGCCAGATCATGATCGTTATGCGCGCTCCGCGCAGCTGTGCTGTGATCTGGCAAAACAACGTAATCACTCTGCATGACTGTGTAGGCCCTTGATTTGGCAAAACAACCTTTGTTGTAAGTTGCAGTAAGCTCTGTCATATTTGCTTTAATTTGGAAAAACAATTAACGTAACAAATGCCATTAATGAAAATTTATGTCGGCAATTGTTTTTATTTTCCGGTTATCTGGGGGGGGGGGGGAGGGGGGGGGGGGAGGGGGGGGGGGGGGAGGGGGGGGGGAGGGGGGGGGGGAGCTAATGAAAAAAAGCTTAGGACTAGTGCGTATAGGTTCTAATTCTAACCCCTTATCTATAATGACCCCTTCCAGACTGTAAATGGATCAATTAACCGTACGCTACTCGTCTCAATCATTCATTTTCAATATCCGACTTAGATATTTTTGTTTCATTATTTATTATGTTGTTTTAATACGTATCAATATAATGATCATACTTATTAGTTTAATATATTTGCTCATCACCTACAGTTTGGCATTATGGAAGTTTACATGCAGCAGCTGGAAGAAAAGCAACGTGTACACATGCAATCACAATCATAATTAGGGAGGCCCATGGTGAAAATTGCATTTTGAAATTTAGGGGTCACCTTGAAGTGGCTTAACTTTAAACTCATAACAAAAGACCAACTGAATTATTTTTTCTTCATAGTAGATATTAAGTTTTATCAACTGAAAAAAAATTGTCTCCCCCAGATCAATAGTTCTCATGTGATGATTTTTTGAAAAATCATAAACTTTGTGTTTTTTCGTATTATTAGCAATTCCCAAATAATATGTGTTAAGCATGATTTTGAAATAAGAAGTGTTGATCTCTGTTTCCCATGTATAAATGATTGTAATGCATCAAAAACAGGATATCAATAGTCTTTTCCCCCCAAAAAAATTGTATTTATGAGAATTATGATATCAAATATGACCACGCCCATTTTTCATCAACAATAATGTAGTATTATTTGAACATTTTATTCTGGGAATCTAAATTCCTAAAGGGTACCAAATTTTATTTAACTTAGACTAGTTAACATTATTGATGATTATAAGAAAATAAATCAGCTTCACTGGATATGTAGTTTTAAATATCCAAAGCATAGAAAATGAAAGAAAACAGGACTTTTCGCAATAATTCAATATTATGACATGCTGTCGAAAATTGAGATGGTGTTTTAAAAAATCATAGCGTTTAGACATTAGGTTGAAAACATTTACCTTTTTCTTTTTCTGCTAGAAACTTTTGGTATTCATCAAGGAAAAAATAATTCACGTTCCAAAACGCTCGTTTTTTATTGATAAGATATGAAATATGCATTATTAATTCATTTGACAATTTTTGATAAATTGGCAGAAATACTGTTTAAATGATATAATACACATCACTAAAAAAAATGATTTTGTTTAAACACTGTCACCAATATGCATCATTACATTTAAAGTATTGGCACTCGTGGTACTTTAGGTGTATATATAGACAGTAATTTCAATATCAATGATTAAATATGAATATATGTACTAGTACAAACAAAAATGAAGGAAAATCAATAAATGTTACTTTCAAGGGCATCTTTGGACTCACTTTATTCAAACAGCAGAACAAATTCCATTTTGAGAACAAAAGTACAAGTTAAGCAGAGAGATATGTACCTAGGTATTGTAATTGCAAACATTTTAGACAGTTCCATTAGTGCTGATGATCAATTTTTTAAGTCATATTTTATGCTAATTTTTAATTTGATGACACTTTCAAATAAGACATTAAAATACTATGGTGTCAAAGCTGTAGAAAAAAATACATTTCCCCACAATTAAACACTGATGACTTGCTGTCGCAAATTTCGAAGGACCTTCAAACAAATGTTCACCTTTTTTCTTAGCACTGAGAGATTTCATTTTCAAATTTTTAAATTGACACAAATGTCTTTTATCAAGAAAAAAAAAAAAATTCTCAATCAGTTTATTTTACAACTGCTGTGCTATGAAATATGCATTATTAACTTATAATGTTAACTATGAACCAAAAAAATAGCTCAAACTCCTTAATACTCTGTTTCAAACATTCATATTATGAAATATGCATTATTATTTCATATGATAAATTTGCCCCAAAATAACAACTTTAAAAAACAATTATGACATTTGATAATACAAGTGTAATCGAAATAAGGATTTTTTCCCAACTGGCAACTGAAAATATGCTATCTGTGGAAAACAAAATTATTTCAAATGCTTGATCGTTGTATAATTATATCATAATCATGCAGAAATATGAAATATTATAATGTACATTAATACCTCGCTAATGGTTGTAAGCGTCCGTAATGTATAAGGAAAGAACAATGCATCTATCACAGTAATAGAAATCAACATTTCAAAAATACAAGTATGGGTAGCACTGTTTATATAGCGAAAGGCTGCCGCTCATTACATTAATAACTCGCTAATTATTGTAAGCGTCCGTAATGTATAAGGAAAAAACAATGCATCTATCACAGTAATAGAAATCGACATTTCAAAAATACTAGTATGAAATATTTAATTGGAAGGTTAGTCCAACTGTAAACTTTTGAGCTATGTGTACTTGGTAATTAGAACATCATCTCCAACTGGAATCATCAACTTAGTGAAGGTCAAAGTTTGATTTGATTTTTGATGTATTTTGATATAATACACCATGGGCTTCCTATTGGTATAAACATGTTTTCAAATATTTTGAAATATTTAATTGGAAGGAGTTAGTCCAACTGTAAACTTTTGGGGGGACACTCTGTAGAGAAGCATACTGAAGTTCTTCCAAGTTAAGATTCCTAACTTTTGTTCGTTTCCAAATCAACAACCTCACAAAGTATGTGCCCCTCTCTTGTCCTTGTTGCCTTTGAGTAGGGCAGTTCTATGCATCATCTTTATATCCTATGGTGTGTAAAAAGTATGTTTTGCAAACTTCCTTGCCATCGATTCTGTACTTTAAGGTATACTTTCGTCTCGATAGCCGCCCACGTCGTGTTGTTGAATTCCTGTAACCTTTTTCAATGTTTTTGACTACCCAGTATCGCCAATCACTATAATCTAACCTCCAACATTCTTGCCAATTGGCCTCTCTTTCTTTTGGATCATGGAGGGAATTACAATGACGACGACAGTGGCATGGAGCCAATTGTGGGTGTTTGGCCTTGTCTCTGCTCAGTCTATCTGCAGCATGTCGGTATCTCCTCTTACCTGATTGCAAGTATAGAAGAAAAAAAGGAGAAAATCAATCAAATGCAAATAGATAAAAGAAAAAAACCCAGAAATTATGATTTTGTTTGAAGCTCTTTCAACACTATCCAAATGATACTTATCTAAGGATTTAGATGATGCATGTATTTTCCTAAAATATATATTTTAAACACTATAAAAACTGAAAACTATAACCATCTTCAAAAAATATAATCAGTTGAGGAACTGAAACACAATTTTATTTTGTCTTTAAAGACAAAAATAATTTGTTGTTATTGTTGTTGTACCCCAACTTTACAAAACATAATATTCCAAAATGAAAAGTCATAATGAATTTTCAAACTATATCTCTTTCTATACAAGTCAGTGAAGGCAATAAGACACAAAATGGGAAGAAACTTCAGAATATTTGCTTATCAATCTGAGGTTATAGAGCTTTGGATTTGATAATCTTATTACTTCCTGCCAACCATCTCCAGTTATTTCATATAGAGTGCTCAAATTCTAGTCTATAGTATTATAAGACGATGATGTGGATCCTAATCAAATTATTGGTTAAAAGCATACACGTACGTGACCAGGCATTTATTTTGCCTAACACATAATTTGGATAACTAGTTATAAAACAAAAAACAAAAAATTAATACACATTGTAATTCTTACTAATGCCCTCAGTGATGTGTAGTGATTGTATACAAATAGACTTACCACCCAATTCATTTCTTCTTTGAACATCATCTGTTGGCTGTCTATCACATGGTGGTGGTGTAGCTCAATGTATGGTGAATGGTGTTTAAATGGTGGAATTGTATGGTGAATGGTGTGCCAATGGTGGATTCTGTATGGTGAATGGTGTTTCAATGGTGGTGTATGATGGTGAATGGTGTTTCAATGGTGGAATTGTATGGTGAATGGTGTTTCAATGGTGGATTCTGTATGGTGAATGGTGTTTCAATGGTGGTGTATGATGGTGAATGGTGTTTCAATGGTGGAATCGTATGGTGAACGGTGTTTAATGGTGGTGTATGATGGTGAATGGTGTTTCAATGGTGATATTGTATGGTGAACGGTGTTTCAATGGTGGATTCTGTATGGTGAATGGTGTTTCAATGGTGGTGTATGATGGTGAATGGTGTTTTAATGGTGGAATTGTATGGTCAATGGATCTCCTTTGAATTTGCTTCTGGCTCAAGAGGAAATGTTGTCGGCTTTCTCTGTGCCTTGCTGCCACTGGGAACTTGGCCTAGACCTAACCCTACATTAACAAAACACAAAAAGGAATAAAACAGGATTTGTTCTAAATTTAGGAAAAGGATTTATAAATAAATAAAATAAACACTCAACTATTTGAAGGAAAGATTCTTTAAAAAAAAAACACTTAATAAACCTTTTTTCCCACGGTTGACCCAAGGATATAGCATATAGACCTACTAATACTATAGAAAATGTAGAAGAGAATAATTACTATTTCTGCTCTGTTTTTTCACATTAAATCATCCTTTCAAAGTTCTGACTGTTCTTTGGGGAAAATAGTTGAACAAGACTCTAGTCTTACCAAGTAGAAAAATAATTGTGCAGACTTTTAAAATCTATTAAGGCACATTCTGAAACCTTGTTTATGGTCATCATTTTGAAAATCCTTACAACTAATACCAGTTGGATTAACTTTGGTAGGCCTATCTAATAATATGCCTACACAATTAAAGAACTAATAATAGGACTTAATTATTACTTGTAAGTTGTAGATTTGTCCTAGTCCTACCTGTGGAACTTCTTGAAGTTGAACCTCCTGGCAATTCTGACAGCTCCCTTCGCCTTCGGATCTCCTTTGAATTTGCTTCTGGCTCAAGAGGAAATGTTGTCTGCTTTCTCTGTGCCTTGCTGCCACTGGGAACTTGGACTAGACCTAACCCTACATTAACAAAACACAAAAAGGAATAAAACAGGATTTGTTCTAAATTTAGGAAAAGGATTAATAAATAAATAAAATAAACACTCAACTATTTGAAGGAAAGATTCTTTAAAAAAAAAACACTTAATAAACCTTTTTTCCCATGGTTGACCCAAGGATAGAGCATAGACCTACTAATACTATAGAAAATGTAGAAGAGAATAATTACTAGTTCTGCTCTGTTTTTCCACATTAAATCATCCTTTCAAAGTTCTGACTGTTCTTTGGGGAAAATAGTTGAACAAGACTCTAGTCTTACCAAGTAGAAAAATAATTGTGCAGACTTTTAAAATCTATTAAGGCACATTCTGAAACCTTGTTTATGGTCATCATTTTAAAAATCCTTACAACTAATACCAGTTGGATTAACTTTGGTAGGCCTATCTAATAATATGCCTACACAATTAAAGAACTAATAATAGGACTTAATTATTACTTGTAAGTTGTAGATTTGTCCTAGTCCTACCTGTGGAACTTCTTGAAGTTGAACCTCCTGGCAATTCTGACAGCTCCCTTCGCCTTCGGATCTCCTTTGAATTTGCTTCTGGCTCAAGAGGAAATGTTGTCGGCTTTCTCTGTGCCTTGCTGCCACTGGGAACTTGGCCTAGACCTAACCCTACATTAACAAAACACAAAAAGGAATAAAACAGGATTTGTTCTAAATTTAGGAAAAGGATTAATAAATAAATAAAATAAACACTCAACTATTTGAAGGAAAGATTCTTTAAAAAAAAAACACTTAATAAACCTTTTTTCCCATGGTTGACCCAAGGATAGAGCATAGACCTACTAATACTATAGAAAATGTAGAAGAGAATAATTACTAGTTCTGCTCTGTTTTTCCACATTAAATCATCCTTTCAAAGTTCTGACTGTTCTTTGGGGAAAATAGTTGAACAAGACTCTAGTCTTACCAAGTAGAAAAATAATTGTGCAGACTTTTAAAATCTATTAAGGCACATTCTGAAACCTTGTTTATGGTGATCATTTTGAAAATCCTTACAACTAATACCAGATAGATTAACTTTGGTAGGCCTATCTAATAATATGCCTACACAATTAAAGAACTAATAATAGGACTTATTACTTGTAAGTTGTAGATTTGTCCTAGTCCTACCTGTGGAACTTCTTGAAGTTGAACCTCCTGGCCATTCTGACAGCTCCTTTCGCCTTCGGATCTCCTTTGAATTTGCTTCTGGCTCAAGAGGAAATGTTGTCGGCTTTCTCTGTGCCTTGCTGCCACTGGGAACTTGGCCTAGACCTAACCCTACAATAACAAAACACAAAAAGGAATAAAACAGGATTTGTTCTAAATTTAAGAAAAGGATTTATAGATAAATAAAATAAACACTCAACTATTTGAAGGAAAGATTCTTTAAAAAAAAAACACTTAATAAACCTTTTTTCCCATTGTTGACCCAAGGATAGAGCATAGACCTACTAATACTATAGAAAATGTAGAAGAGAATAATTACTAGTTCTGCTCTGTTTTTCCACATTAAATCATCCTTTCAAAGTTCTGACTCTTCTTTGGGGAAAATAGTTGAACAAGACTCTAGTCTTACCAAGTAGAAAAATAATTGTGCAGACTTTTAAAATCTATTAAGGCACATTCTGAAACCTTGTTTATGGTCATCATTTTGAAAATCCTTACAACTAATACCAGATAGATTAACTTTGGTAGGCCTATCTAATAATATGCCTACACAATAAAAGAACTAATAATAGGACTTAATTATTACTTGTAAGTTGTAGATTTGTCCTAGTCCTACCTGTGGAACCTCTTGAAGTTGAACCTCCTGGCCATTCTGACAGCTCCTTTCGCCTTCGGATCTCCTTTGAATTTGCTTCTGGCTCAAGAGGAAATGTTGTCTGCTTTCTCTGTGCCTTACCGCCACTGGGAACTTGGCCTAGACCTAACCCTACATTAACAAAACAAAAAAAGGAATAAAACAGAATTTGTTCTAAATTTAGGGTCTTTTGGCCTAGAGGTCTAGAGCCAAAATAGAGGATCTAGATCTACTGTCTTTACTTTAGGCTTTAGAGTTTAGAGGGGGGGGGGGGAGGGATGGTGAGATAAAGATCTAATCTAGGACTAGACTCTAGACCCTAGATTTAAGTTAGGTCAAGAATCCAAGCTGTCAATTCTAGATCAATATCTTATCTAGATCTAGACAGAAATAATCGTTTGATATTGGTCATTCTTTAAAAAAACTGACATTTGTCGACATTCCCCATACAGAGGTCTAGATTCTAGATCTATAATGGACCCAGACGTAGTCTCAGTGGAACAACTGACGATATAGACCTTCTACTTCTAGAGAGACTGAAGCTTTTGGTCTAATCTAGATCTAGATCTAGATTAGAGTCTAATCTAGATCTAGATCTAGATTAGAGTCTACTCAGGGCTGTCAACCCTCCCGTATTTGGAGGGAGACTCCGGCCACCACGCCTTCCTCCCGCTCTCCTGCCAAAGATGTAGAATCTGCCGGTTTATGAAAAAACCTCCCGCCCCAACAAAAATAGAATCTAGGCTATGGATTCTATGTGCTCGATAGGTCTAGACATAGGTCTAGACTAGATCTAGTCTAGATCTAGACCCCTAATGTCATGATGTAAAAAGTGAATTCCAGTCCTTGAACTTGAACCCCCCCCCCCCTACCCTCCTATGTACATGAGCTACGGCGCACGCGGCATCATTGCATCGTTGCAGAAATCTGCAACGTAAACAATCAAACGCGCCCTCTAGACTAGGTCTAGAGTCTATGCGCATTCGCGGTGTAACGTTGCGGATTTCTTCAACGTTGCAGAAATCGTACATTTCCCGAACTGTGGAGTCTTTTGAGATCTAGGGTCTAGACTTCTAGTTCTAGACCCCTAGGACTAGACTCTAACTTGTTAGACCTAGATATCTAGAGTCTAGATCTAGACCTAGATCTAGGTCCTAGAGAAAAAATAGATCTAGAGTCTAGGCCTAGAGTCTAGACTAGATATTAGATCATGATAGATCTAGATTAGACTAGGGTCTAGACCCTAAGGCTAAGCGCATGGAGGCCGATATCATACTCATAGATCTAGATCTAGACCTACTCATAGTTCTAGAAATCTAGACCTAGTCTAGATCTAGACTCTATGTAGACCTAGACTAGATCTAGTCTATCTCTATCTCTATCTCTAGACCTAGACTAGTAGGCCTAGACTACTACTAGTCTAGACCTACTTAGATCTAGAGTCTAGATCTAGTTTATAATTTTGGGGTGGGCCCCTTTAATTTAGGGAATAGACCTTGACTGGAGAAGAACCTGCTCTTTCATATGGTTCGATAACGAGCAATAAGCCAATTGGTTTGAATCTCATTTTGGTAATAAAAACATCGACCAATTTAGCATGAGCGCGCAATGCACAGACATGGGCTGCATAGGGTTATGTGCAATCTCTATGATTTTAGCACAACTGAGTGCGCGATCGACACGTCCCTACAACAGTACAACAGACCCTCGAAACTTTCCTTCGAAATCTAAGTTATATATTCCTAGTCTTCCTACTCTTAGATAGACGTAGTCTACGTACCTTGCTTCAACTTTCGGACCTTCTGCAAAGCGAGGTCGAGGATGACCTGCCCTCTTGTCCTACGTGCCTCCATCACGTCCGTCGATGAATCACGAACATGAACAGTCGATCAGGCAGCTAGTGCAGTGCTGCATGCATGCAGTGCTAGTGAAGTTAACGACTCACAGCTTTTTTTGGCGCGTATATTGAAAACGTACGTACATTCACTCAGTTCTGCGCGCACCTGTACCTGCACCGCGCGAGCAAGTTTTTAGGTATAACCACATACCTAATTAATTGCATGAACAAGCGCAGCGCAAGCGCCGCACGGCCGCAGCACT